GCAATAGTATTAGCAATGCAGGGATAAATGCCCATAGCCCCAAGGAAGACCCCAGCATATTTAACACCGGGCGATTTCGTGCCTAGTAACATTGAGAAACCAACTATTCCCAAGATGGATGCGAGAATGTTATAGATTCCTCTCTGACGTGTGCGATCAGCTATGTAGCCAACCGAGACTGTTAGGATAGCAGCGCAAGCATAAGGAGGCACACTGAGGAGCTGTGCACGTGTAGATGAGTATCCTGATCTTTGTCAGCAAAGAAGTCATTGGACGAGTGAAGCCCTTTAAAGTACCCTGGATTAGTAGATAGTTAGTGATGTCGTTTTGAAGAAACTTGAACACTTGGCTTGCATACTAGTTCTTTGATAATGGTTGGTAAGAACAATGAAAAAGCATATAATGCTCCATCAGCACCCATATAAATAATAGCACCAAGCCAAGTCTTATGGTCTTTCAGGCTGTCCCACATATATGAGGATTTCCACTCGTGCTCCTTTGCAGTACTGGATTGCTGGTCTAGAGCCAGACGTCGCATTACGCGCTTTCGGTCCGTGTCAGATAGGAATTTAGCTTTATCCGGAAAGTCGTACACCAGCCAGAAGGAAAGCACCCCAATGACGACGGTTGCAAGACCCTCTAGGATGAAGATCCATGCCCATCCGTCCTTTCCACCCACCTTATCCATCTTGGCAATGGCAGCTGCCAGAAGACCGCCAAACGAGCCCGCTAGCGCAGCAGCAGAAAAGAATATGGCCATCCGAATACCGAATTCAGACCGTTTATACCAGCAGGAAAGATAGTAGCTAATGCCCGGGAAAAGACCGGCTTCAGCTAATCCAAGAAACCATCGTGCAGCCATGAGACCGGAAAAGTTGTGTACAAGTCCCATTGTTGTCATGCAAATGCCCTGGATAATGATAATTTCCGATCAGAACTGTTTCTTTTTCAGCCATTATGTCACATTGCATACCCAGAGCACGATGATTGTTGGGATAAAAATACTGGGAAGTGTCCGTTTGAGCAGTACGTTTGTAAGGGGCTCAAAGATAGAATAGGAGATGAAGAAGATGGTCAGCGAAGCATTGTATTGGCCACCAGTCATATGAAGTGCTTCCTGGAGACCATCCAATTTTGCATTTCCAATATTTGTGCGGTCAAGAAATGATGCTAGATAGAGTAAGGACAGCCATGGGATGAGACGCATATCTAATTTCCTCAGCAAACGTCGATCCTAAGAAGATCAGCCGACCTGCATGTTACTTCTAAAAGCGAGTTGCATACTATTATTGCCTTCTCCTCTTCAGATAAACCATCGTCAGGGTCAGCAATCACCTCAAGTTGTTCGATACCTGGCTTTGAGGTTTCTAGGTCAGAATTGTAACTAGAAATCCCTCCACCAGCTGCCTCCTTCTCGGATGCCATGGTATCCAAATCCAGTATTTTCAGCCGGATAAAATGGGTCTTTCCTTTTTTTCTCTCTCTCTTTTACGGTGAAAAGTAAAATATGGACACAAGCAGCGATTTATAGCATACCCCTTAAACGTCAGGTCGCAGGCGGTGACTGGGGATTTAAATGATGGCAATACCCAAGAACGTGGGGGATCTCGGTGGATCAGTCAGAATCGGAAGGACCTTCGGCGATCTGGATCTTGTTTTTCTTATTTTCTTCTCCCCTTTCCTTTCCTTTCCTTTCTATTCTCTTCTTTCCGTGCTTTTCTTTGTTCCTTACATTTAGCAAAAGTCAATTTGAAACTAACATCATAACTTGCATAGCAATGCCCATATCAATTAATCAAAAGTCTGGTACACCTGTGGAATGCCCAGGCCTATTAGGGCTCTAATAATACCTGGTAGTCATAGCATTCGGTATTGAGCAACTACTGCTAGCAATGACAACTAAGTGAACACAAAAGAGTACACATCCCTCTGTCTAGTTTGTAATCATAAGATTATATCATAATGCAACAGTGACATTCGTTAAAATTTGCTCAGATTCAAATCAACTTCACGTAGGATGTCAACCGCAGGGAAAGGAAGAAACTAACAGCTATGGTAAAGTTTATATTTCCCCGGCGTTCAGTACGGCTCCATAACTCTGGTCGAATCCACCAATGCCATCGAACGGATCGTCTGGACCAGCCATCGAACGCCGACCCTAAAAATTTAGTCTATGCTCCTAAGTCCAATGAAAATATGGACTAAATCTAAAAAATTCGAAATGGAGCAGGGAGATCGATATGTAAGCGAGATACACAGACAAATCAATCTCACTAAGCGCTATCATAGGCTGAAAAGTGTCCTGACTCTCTGGCACAATACTTTGGGGCCCCCACGGCCTTGACTATTTTGTAAGCTCTTATCAATGAGGGGTCACAGGACCACCGAAAACTAATTCGCGTGGTCAGCAGCCCACCACCCATTATTCTTCAATTGGCAATATTCCCCAAGAAGGCAAGTGCGCAAGTCTTCGGGAACTCACTGTCCTCACGTTCTCAGTTGTTGGGGGGAAAAGGACAATTATTGAGCAATAGGACAGGAAACTGGGCACCTGAGTTGGTCCGGCATTCCGGCCATTGTACGGAATAGTGGCGCAGTGGAACCGGCGCGGAATGGTAAGTTTGATAAATGAACCTTAAGTTCCCTTGATATAGCTTGGCACGGGAGCGGGGTAGATTTGCGGACCGCGCGGGACAAGACTTGTATCCACTACGATAGTTAACGCGTAGTTACTCCGTACTCCGGGCCGGAATTAGCAACGGTCACCGCGAGCTCCAGCTAACTAGTAACTAGACGTTCAAGAACTAACCATTAAGGTCCAACGCAGTATAACTGACAGTTTATCGCTTTGAAGTGAAGGGTTTATCGCAGGTAACAGACCATTGTAGACTTAAAGAGCAATTAACATTTGAAACTTTGATCCCAGGCTTTAGTATCTACGTAGAGAAATTTGCCTAATGTCGTATTTACATGGAAGAATCTGACAATTAGAGCCATGTAACATATGTTCCGGCTGAATTAGGGATTTACTTGCTTATAAAGGATGCCCCAAATCTAGAATGGGCTCAGAAGTAAAATATACTATACGGCTTATACTTAGCGATACCCTCTACGGAGTCTTTGAACATCGAACTTTATATCAATAATAATCACATACTGCCTGAACTGCTTGAACCAGTTAAATTACTGTAAGATTTTTGAACAAGATAGATAGTCAGGGGAGAGCTGTAGACGTCAAATGTATGGATTGGTATAGAGTACGGAGAATAAAATACAAAGACTTGTCCTTCTTCTTTCTAGTTAGAACAAGAGCTTTTATATCTGGGTCTATCGGAGATAGATTCATTATTAAACATAGGACTATTATGTCAGGCGATGCGACAAGATGTATATATAACCAGGTTTCTTCATGTACCGGGAGCCGGGCATACTGTACGGTTTATAGACCTGATCATCCTCAAGTCCAGACAGACCAGGCGTATATGCGATCTCATGCATAATCCCAAGAGCATAGTACCCATAGAATATGATAGATAATATGACAACTTTGGCAAGGCGCTGGACCCTATTTTTCATGGGGTCTTGATTCTCTACTGGAACCTACGTGGCGCTGAGGTCTTATTTATGATGCTCAGAAAACAAAGAGATCGATTTAACCAGCTTCAACATTCTACCTTAGTATACCTAGTGCTAAGTACTGTGTTTCTTTTTCATATTCCTTCCTATAACTCTGATTAGCTAGGTAACGTTAGTTGATCAGTTCGATGGATACGTAGAAGTGTTTAGGATGGGGCCTGTTTTGAGATCCTTGTCTCCGTCTTGACTAGGTCCTTGCGTTGTCTTTTGCGTAACCAATTAGATTTCATTTTCACCTCTCACAATCCTACCATTTTGCCCCCTTTACAAACCTTGACCTCCTCAACCAATATCTATTGTTCTAGTTTCATCATAGCATCACTAAATCCTCAAGATTCCGATTGCCTTATGATCGGCGGTAGTACTGCTGGTCTAGTTCAACCGACTGTCGGAAGATACCGAAACACAGGTGATGGTGTTAGAGAGCGGCCCAGATCGAACTACAGACCCGTGATCACTCAGTGAGGATGAAGCACATCCGTTTCGTTCATTTATCGATCTGTGAAACATGGTCGTGTCCATAGAGTTCGTGAACACGAGGATACTTGATCTCCTCATATCTTCAAGTCAATCAATTGTGCTTCTCAAACGCCGTTCGGTTACGCAGTATATAAGATTAGGGTGCAGATCAGGGTGCCGAGCGCAAGGACGACGAAGGATTCCCAAACTAACAGGACCGGGACCAAGCGCCGCTCACCCCCCCGAGCCTGCTGAATGAACCAAGGGCGAGGCAGATGGAACACAGCATTGTGGGGAACTATTCTTAGTGGGTGATGTATTGATTAACAATGACACTGGTACTGCGGCTTGCAGTAATTCAGGGATCCGGTGGTAGTTGAGATGTCCGAGGGGTGTCCTGCTACCACTTAGGAAATCTGTTTGACAGTTACTTGCGATATGGGTTATTCATACTTGTTTTGATAGCTGAGGTTACTACAAATAATGGTCCTATGTCAGTGCTGGGCTGGGCAATCTTATAGGAACGCCCATTTGTGGATTGTTGTGCGATGGTTGACGACCACGTATGAAGAAGTCTATCTGCCTCTGCGTCTCATTAAACTGCCGTGGACAAAGGCATAACTCTACAATAATACAACTGTTATCTGTGACAAATATCCGACCTACTAAAGAAATGTTGCGGAGATAAGCCGTCCCACCAAAGTTAAACTTCTCTTCCACTCCAGACCACTCCTATCGACTATGATCTACCCTCACGGATACGGGCCGAATCCGCTGAGGTATTAGACAGCTTTTGCCAGCCAAAGTTTGTCATGATGCTTTTCTTGGGGAGGCGAAATATAATCCCATTACCCAAGAAACCTGGAATATAGTCCTCATCTTGATCAACGGATTGTCACTTAGAAATGAGTCAAGACACTGCTATCAGTAAGATGGATACCGAAAAGAAAACGGAAGACATAATAGCGAGAAAGGCAAGTCTTGCAGAAGGCACTGTAGCATCTCACCAGGGAGCCAACTATTCGGACTTCAACCAACACGTTATTAACAATGCAATTGAAACAATCGGAATGGGGCGCTACCAATGGCAGCTGATGGTTTCTTGTGGATTTGGTTTTATTGCAGATCAGGCAAGCTCTTTTCTAATAACGTCGACCATATCTAACAGATCCTCAGATGCTTCTTGTTTCCATCAGTCTGGTCATGCCTCAAGCCTCGAAGGAGTTTAATCCTCGATATGCGACACTTCTTTCCGCTACACAATACGCAGGTTTAGGAGCCGGTGCTGTAATCTTTGGGCTTATTGCTGACTTTACTGGCCGTCGTCTGGCGTGGCAGACATCTATCTTTGGCGTGTCTGTCTTTACTGCCATCTGTGCTGCCTCACCCAACTGGGCTGCACTGAATGTTTTTGTTGTGCTCTCTGCTTTTTTTGGAGGCGGGAATTGTAAGCACTTTGTTTTCTGATCGAGCGTGCTCATACTGATATGGACATATAGTGGCAATTGACCTCACAGTTCTTGCAGAGTCTCTACCACGAAAGTGGGCCTTCCTCCTTACCTCTCTTGCATGTCTCTGGGGCCTTGGAAATGCTATCACGGGACTGATAGGTACTTTTATTGCCTTCTATTTTCTGAAAGCGTTTCGCTGACCCACCATGGACAGCCTGGCCACTTGTAGTGAACTTTTGTTGTCCAGCTGGCGCTACTCCCGAAACATGTACCAAAGCTAATAATATGGGATGGCGATATCTGTATATCATCCTTGGGGGATTATGCCTCGTCATGTCCGTTCTGCGCACTTTCGCACTGGGAATGAGCGAGTCACCTAAGTGGCTTGTATCACGGGGACAGTTGAACGAAGCAGTGGCGTCCATCAATACAATCAGCAAGGTCAACAAATCAACGTATGTAATGATGGTTGATCAGTTGCGTCCCTATGAGCTGGAAGACTCTAAGAGCGCCTTCAAGAAAGCCATCTCCATGGTGGGTGCATTATTCGATGGCTCGAAGCAGATTCGCTCAATGATATGCTTGATTATTCTATGGCTACTTATCGGCATTGCGTACCACACCCGTCCACAGCTTGCAAATGTCAACAATAAGTGCTAATAAGTTCAGATATCCTGTCTATACGGTGTTTCTCCCATATTACCTTGAAGCGCACGGAGCCACAATAGGCGATGGAAGCACATATCAGACCTACCGCGACTGGTCTATCTCCTCGGTAGTCGGAATATGGGGACCGATTCTAAGTGCTTTCCTTGTGCAGGCACCCTTCCTCGGACGTCGACGTTCAATGACGCTGACAGCCTGCGCCTCCGCTGCCTTCGCGGGCGCCTTCACTACCGTTAAGACCGAGTCGCAGAATCTGGCCTTTTCCAGCATGATTAACTTTTGGCTCAATGCGCTGTATGGCATAATTTATGGGTGAGTTTGACTTGAATAGAACATGCAATCTGATATTGACATGGTAGGATAGGTATACGCCGGAAGTTATGCCAGATGCATATAGGGGCATTGGCTGTGGACTGACGCTCGCTTGTGGCCGGATTGCATCCCTCTCAGCCCCATTCATCGCGACCTTCGGGGATGTCACGACGGCTGTGCCTATCTGGGTCTGCTGTGCATTTTTTGTGATTATTGGGATTGTATCACTGGTTTTGCCGTTCGAACCGGGAGATCTATGACGATATGGCTTTGTTTGTACATAGGAATGAAGACATGGGGCACATGGCATGTTTGATATCTTCATGGTGTGCTGAGGTATTTGAGTATGAGTTGCGAGCTCCGTATAGCTGTATCTCTTAGTTTAGGTTACAACTCTACCACGATTTAGTCAATGAATCTAGAGAACACATTATGAAAAAGCGAAATGAAGTATAATCGCATCATTGTAATCTTTCATAGTGTATCCAATCTGACCGTCACTGCCACGATCTCACTACCATACAATGGTCCTGCAACATCTTCTACAGAGTCCACACTACTGATATGCGTGTATAGATCCCAGGAGAACTGCAATTCATGCCTAAAGCCACGGTGGAATCGTCAAGCACCGGACTCTAGCTAGGCCCAGAACATAGCCCTAGCTCACTCCACCCGGAAGCGGTCCGGATCCGACAACACCCCCTCATCAACACCAAGATAAGAGTGATAGAAGACTCAAGATACCAAAAGCCCAAAGGTTAAACATAGTATATCAGCCCCTGGAAACCCATAATACCAACGCGCATGGGCAAGAGCCGATATCCAATATCCCACAATACCATAAATTTCCATCGAAACTAGAACCCGGTCCTGTATCTATATCCCTTCCATCAAGATCAAAAATGAACCGCCTTTTCCCCTTCTCCAAGTCCACAAGCACCCCCGCTAAGGAACAAATCCAAACAAAAGCCCTCCCATCCTCCTGGTACCGCTCCGAGGCGCTCTACGCCCTCGAGCGCCGCGCCATCTTCTCCAAGAAATGGATGGTAGTAACCCACCGCACCCGGTTTTCAAAGCCAGGCGATTATGTGCAGCTCAATGCGGCCGGGTACGGCTATTTCATTATTAAAGATAGAACGGGTGCCATTAGAGCTTTTCATAATGTATGTCGACACCGGGCGTATCCTGTTCTTCAGACGGAAGGTGACTCTGGGACTGCTAATATCATTTCTTGTGGGTATCACGGTAAGCCATAATTATATATTTGGATTTGGGTAAGGGAGCAAACTGTTAAATTTGATTATGCAGGTTGGTCATACGGCCTGGATGGCAAGCTTGCGAAAGCACCTCGGTATCAGGACGTGGAGGGATTTGAGAAAGAGAAGATGAGTCTTTATCCAATTCACATCCACATCGACCATCTTGGGTTCGTGTGGGTGAATCTGGAGGCTGGTTCCCGACCGAGCGTATCCTGGGAAGAGGACTTCGAGGGCGTGGACCAGCAGCCTCGCTTGCAGGGGTTTGATCTGTCGCAGTACCATTTCGACCATACGTGGAGTATGATAGGGGATTATAACTGGAAGACGCTGGCGGATAATTATAATGAAGTATACATCCCTCCCTTGCCCCTTCCCTATCTTCAACTCATCCGAAGGGAAGAGAGAGACAAGAGAGGAAGCTGACGATGGCTATATAAATAGTGCTATCACTGTCCAACGGGCCATCCAGGCGTGAACGCCGTCGCGGATCTGATCAAATACTACGTCGAGACCAAAGCAGGACATATCCAGCACTTTAATGCTGATAAGAAGGATACGCCTGGCCTGGGGATCTTTAGCACTTTTTATTTCCCCAATGCGTCGATTACGGTTTCGTATGTTGTTTTTATTTCTTCTGTGCTGTTGTTTGTGAAGAGTTGCTGAGAAGAGCCTAGACCATCGTTTTGGTACATGATGCGCTGTGTTCCTGTTTCTGCGACGCAGACTCGCATGGAGTATGATGTTTACAGACACAATGAAGCTTCGAATGAGGACTTCACGTATATTGATGAGTTCTTCAAGCAGGTCCTGCGCGAGGATAAAGATCTGTGTAACGCGGCGCAGAAGAATTTGAATGCAGGGGTGTTTGTGAATGGGGAGTTACACCCTCGGGCTGAGAAGGTTTGCTTTGGTCATAATATGCGAAAGCCTTGTTTATGCTAATATGGTACTTAGGGCCCGTTGTATTTCCAGAAAATGGTTCGAGGGTTGGTGTTCGATCATAGGAAGAGAGAAGAGGAAGCTGGGAAGGATATTTGGCCGGCTGTGCCGCAGTGCGACTCCTCTGATAAGTTGCAGGAGGAGATTAGGTTTTGCGAGGGATTAGAATGCTCAGGGAATGGTTCTTTAGAATGGTGACATGTAGTCGAATGGAGAGTTTATTGGGGTTACGGGATTCATGTATGGTTGATATCGACCTGACTAGGTCAACGTTTCGAGTGGGTACGTATATGAATAATAGTATTTGAGTACTTTCGAGAGATAGGAGTTTTCTTATGCAGGTGGATGTGTTTGGTTACTCGTGTACGTTCGGAAGTAGCTGAGACAATAGTTGTCTGCTCACCTAACTGGGGAATGAGGAATAGTTTAAGACCTCGTTATCATGGTTTTAGTACAGCATCCTTACCAGATCCACTGGGAAGAAGGTCGACAGGATGAGAAGGAGAAGGAGAAGCTGTAGCCAGGAATGTTGTTCTGAAGGTCAAATGCTAGCAAGACATCACCAGCACCGCCTACTTCAATTCAAGCAGAATCATCTATAATTACCGATGCATTCATCGGAGAACACCTGCAAAGCTCCAATCGTGGTAACGGCAGTTTTCGTGTCTTGTCTATCTGAAGCGAAGGAAGATAGTATACACTCAAGACGTCGACTACTTGACAATAGGACGATGGCGATAAATCGGAAGAGGAGAGAGTTGGCGAAGGGTGAGGAACGAAAGGAGGGGGAATAGAGGGGGGGTTTATACTCGGGCGATCCGCGCTGGAGCCTGGATGCCTCACGAGACTTCAGTCCGCTCAAGAAACTTCATGGGTCTAATCAAGGCTCTGGTATTTAGATTTCAAGAATGTATGAACGATCTTTGCTGTAAGCAGAGCTGATTGACATGTCTCTGAACGCTTCTCTATCAAGTTAAGTTCTCAATACCTACCCAGTACTCTTTCCAAATCCTGTAAGATCTCCCTCTTCGTAACCTCATCTGCCCAGCTCATCTCAACCGCATTTCGAACGAGCTTGCCCATATCCGACTTAGTAAAACCGCAATACCTGTATACCTTCATCATGTTTCCATCAATCCAAACATCATGCATATAAGTCGGATCATCACTATTAATACAAAACTGGACACCCTCATCCCATAGCTTCCTGATCTTAGGAAAAAGTACCTCCGTCGCCTGTCTGCGATGGTATGCATGCGGACAAAGTGTGAGGCCGATGTTTTTCTCTTTCAACGCAGCTATCAACTCCGGAGAATCGATAGCATTGAGACCATGGTCAATCCGCTCCGCTCCAGAACCACCACAGACATTGAAAATGCCCTCGCGCATATGCTCCACCACATCCTTCTGGTCCACATCACAGTGCATGGTAACATGCAAACCAGCCTCTTTGGCCAACAGAAACCCCTCTTCAAAGAGTCCTGGAGGTCGATCATACTCATTACTCGCCAGTCCGACCGCATGGAATAACCCCTTTCCATTTCCATCTTTCGTTTGAGCCCAAGGCAGCGCCGAGTGAAGCGCCTTCAGTCCTTCCTCGACCGGATGGTCACGCAGGAAGCAGAAGATCCAGTTACTCTTCACTCCGAGTTCTCTGGCTCCATCATGCTGAGCACGGAGAAACCCATTCAAGATAGCTTCAACGGGAATACCTCGTTTAGTATGAGCCTGAGTGTCAAAGAACGGCTCAACGTAGCGCACGTTCATGTCTTTTGCCTTTTCGAAATATGTCATGGCAAGCTCGTAGAAATCATCTTCTGTGCAGAGGACTTGGCAGCCCTCGTAATAGGTTTCTAGGAAGGTGGGGGCACCATTGTCGCCATTGAGCTCGCGACGGTGATTGTACGTGATCTTGTATGAGTCAACCAGCGCTTCGTATGTGGGGTATCGAAGAGGGATGTTATTTTTGTGAGCGAGCTTCCATCGGAGGGCTGGTGTTAGGGTGCCTTGGATGTGGACATGCAGTTCGACTTTGGGGAGGGATATTATGAAAGGGGTTATTTCGAGGCCGTCCATGCTTTGTATGCAAATTCTGATGGAAGGTATGTTTAGGTCTCAAGTTCTCTCACTCAGGCTCTGAGTATGTTGTAGGTATGTAGTATCTCAGTCGTCGGGGACATTGGGTAATGAATTTGAGGGTCCATTGGAGTTATTCCTTCGGCGGCACTATCCGACAACCAGCCGTTCTTCTGATAAGAAAGGTGTGAAGGATCGGAGGTCGTAGCTAATGACGTCCAAGTCTTAGATTCCCCTCATTACCGTTGCATATTCTGCGGAGATCTTCCGATGTGTGCAAATTGACGCTAATTAATATTGATTTCTTAAGCATCTTCGATTTTCCTTTTGTCTAGGTGATGCATTGGTTATCGTAACTTTGTAGCGGCATCATATATACTGTCTTGCGATCCTGCTAAGAGGTACGTACGACTCTAACCATTCAAATCATATCATCCAATTTAACATACAACTACTTGGAATCTGAAAAAGTCATGCCAGTCTAATAGACTACCGTGTCCTCTCCTTCGCGATCTACGGCACCCCAATTGGCCGAGAAACCGGGACACTGAACGGCGTTAAGCCCCTCGTGAAAAGAGAGGCATCCATCCAACGCACGCCCAAATCCTGGACGATATTACGAAGGTGAGTGTATCCAACAAAGCAAATCATCCGACATATGCCGACCTCGTCGCCACAATCTAGCCACAGATGGTTGTATTGGGCCTGTCTGCACCGACCCCCGAGTAGAGCCAGCATTATGATCATCATGTAGCGAGGGGTATGGGTATTCATTCAAGCTGGATTGTGAGGTCTGGCTTGTCTATGGGAAATTTGACAAGATTTCATGATTGGAAGTTCAATAGGTGAGGTGAGATGGCGCAAGCGTCGCAGGCGGGCCTTCGGGCGTAATGAAATTTGTATTGAGATCGACTACAACCTTGCTGATACTGGTGCTTGTCTAGACGGGTGAATTGAGACTGAGTCATTCTAATGGAAACCCTAATCTAATGTACATTATGTAGCAAAGGCAAGCGTGGTTCGTATTTTGAACACGGGTCCGAACAGATCGGCGCAGATATATCATACATTTCGTATATTTCATAGTTAGCTTTCACGAACTATAATATTTTGATTTCTAATCCTGTCTAGGCAAAGTGAACACCGCCCGACTGACAGCTTCACTAGAGGTTGTTCGCCTCCACCCATAAGGGAGCTATTGGCTGAGGTAGACATTACACCGATGCCATCCTACTTTTGCTTATCAATCATGCACTCGACTACACCTAAACAACCAGATGTTATCCTCGTATTCTAATTTACTGTATGACGCCAAATCTGCCCAGCCAATCTTCGCCTGGCCAATGCACCAAAATATAAATATGTTGCATGTGCCATACAATATCCTGAGCAAGAAACACTTTGATTATAGAATTTCTACCTCTCCCATCATGCAGCCTATCGCCAGAGAAAATGTTCTCATTGATGGAAATCGAGTTGCCTATGGAATATACGGTACTGGGGCTCCGGTTGTCCTTCTTCATGGAACACCCTCATCATCACTCATCTGGCGCAACGTCATCCCGCAGCTCACAAACGCCGGTTTCAAGGCCTATGTGTTCGACCTGCTAGGATATGGAGTGTCAGAGCGTCCATGGGATCCACGCATCGACACGTCAATGACAGGCCAAGTTTCAATCCTCGAGGGCCTACTCAAGCATTGGGATCTCGAGACCTTCCATTTAGTGGCCCACGATATTGGGGGCGGTATTGCCCAGCGCTTTGGTGTCTTCAACTCTCATCGACTACGGTCATTGATGCTTGTGGATGTTGTTAGCTTCGATAGCTATCCTTCACAGCGAACGAGGGAGCAGATGGCTACAGGACTTCAAACATTGTGTGACGCCACAGATGAAAATCACCGTTCGCACTTCAAGGAATGGCTGCTTTCAGCAGTCTATGATAAGAAGACTTTCGCGGATACAAGCCTCACTACATTCTTAGAGTACATCTCAGGACCCATAGGTCAGGGCAGCCTGTTCCAACACCAAGTGCGACATTATGACCCGAAGCATACAATGGAAATTGTCAGTCGACTTCACGAGCTCGGCAGGGTGCCCGTCAAGCTGGTATGGGGGGCAGATGATGCCTGGCAAGTGGTGGACTGGGCTCATAAACTTAAAAATGCGATTCCAGGCTCTGAGCTAGATATATTTGAAGAGTGCGGGCATTTCTCACCAGAGGACCAACCTGAAAAGCTTGCGAAAACTGTCATTGCATTTATTCAACGCCATGAAAGTTCTTGAGGAGAGACTGTCACTTGATGTGATGATGCCACTACAGCACATCCCTGGTACAAATTTTCACTCATAGAAGTTCGATCAGTAGGGTTTATTATGATATATTTCCTGTCGCATGTAACTAGTTTCAAGGTTTATTTACTGCTACTAACAACTTCTGTCCTCTTAAAATACTTGTCGGTGCAATTTTATTTTTAAGATTCAAGAGTACCACCCTTGTATGCAGCCATATATCTACAAAAGCTGGGCCAAAAGAGGATGAGTGCCTTCGAGCTATCTAATGCTGGGAGAGTCCCCACCTCGAGAAAATCGAACATTGAGATTGAAAGTTTGCTGCTCAGCCAAAGCACTAGTGCATGCAGCGCTGCAATCAAGGCCAGTACCGTAACCGACAAGATGGACGGCCGGCGTTGGGATTCACCTGGCAAGAAGGGATCGTGGAGGCCAATATGGCCAAGCAGATCAAGCTATCAAGGGTGAGGTGGAAAGACTAGTACTACTGTACATCAAAAATACCGACCAAATGCATTTCCATTGCTGCTTGTTTCTGTGATATCGAGCGCTTGTGTGCTCTTCAGGCTCTGTTGAGGTTCGAAGCCACTGAAAATGAATAGCTCTCGAATGAACAGCCCAGGCAATTGAGCATAAGAGGGACCTCTAGCGGCTTGTATGTCAGACCATCGAACGAATACACACAACAACTTGGCAGTTGGGGAATGGTCTCAAGTTTGTCTTCGTGTAGTGAGAATAAAATCCCGTTCATGTAGAAAACAAAACTTCCGTCCGTATGACTTATCCTGCCAGCAGCATTTCCATCTAAGGTAGTAATGTCTTCCTAACCAATAGTGGGCCTGTGCTTCGGAAGAGGAGGTAGGAATCGTCCGTGAAGCTAGTATACAATAAATATGCTCGCTTACTACTCATCTTGCATATGTCACATATCTAAAAATATTAACTTAATTTTTTTGACCAAAGTTGCACACCATTATAGAGAATCATTTATCATAGGGTGAGTATATGTACAAAGGTGAAGTTTATATGACATTAATTACCTGCATTCCAATCGGTTAATTTACCGACATCTCAGGCTTATCAGCTGCACAGCAGACAATTCATGATAAGACGCATTCCCCCTCCCTTTGTTCCTTTGGAATAGTAACTCTATAAAATGCTATCTCCCGCCAGACCTTTTGCGCCTTGTCGTGAAATGAACAATATTCCCGATATTATAGCAAATCGTAACCACAAAACGAGACACTATGGCTTCGACAGCTCGAGCCATAGACGAAAGCAATCACGATGATAACGCCCAGGTTATTGCCTCCAGCGCATTGCGTAAAGTTGATATGCGACTCATTCCTCTATTGTTCATTACATATATGTTCAATTTCATGGATAAAACTATTTTATCTAGCGCGTCCGTCTTTGGCCTCATTGACGACACAGTATGCACCCCATTTATACCCTAGTAGCGCCTCTGACAAACCACTCTAAACTAACCGCACCTAGCACCTCATCGGACAGCAATACAGCTGGGTATCCAGCATCTTCTACTTCGGTTATTTCTTTTGGGAAGTCCCTACAAACTATCTCATCCCCCGACTCCCTGTCGCAAAATACCTGGCAGCCAACACCCTCTTCTGGGGCGCTGTCGTCGCCCTAACCGCAGCTTGCGTCAACTACGGCGGCCTGCTCGCAGTCCGATTCCTGTTAGGCATCGCAGAAGCAACGATCACCCCTGCATTCATGTTTATAACGACAACATGGTATACGCGGGACGAGATCCCCTTCCGAACCGGCATCTGGTTCTCAGGAAACTCCATCGGCGGTCTCGTCGCTAGCCTCCTAGCGTATGGTATAGGACACATCGAGCACCCTCTCCGACCATGGATGTGGATGTTCATCATCCTGGGCATTGCCACCTTTTTATGGGGATTCGTACTACTCGCCTTCCTACCAGATAGCATATCAAAAGCCACGTTCCTAACGCCCCAAGAACGAGAATTCATGGCCCATCGCGCGGTAATTGCCGGAACTGGACGCACCGAGAAAACAAACTGGAAATGGGAGCAGGCATTCGAGTGTATCCAGGATCCAAAAACCTGGCATCTCTTCGCCATCGCTATTCTAACACAGATTCCGAACGGGGGTACGCAAAACTTTGGAAACCTTGTCATTAAATCCTTTGGGTTTTCGTCGCTTGAATCCACACTCATTAATATCCCCTCTAGTGTGGTCAGCGCTTCCACGATCACTATTACAGGCTGGATTGCGGGTCGCTATAGAAAGATGAACTGCATCTTAATCGTCTGCATTGTTGCTTTATCAATCATAGGAAGTGCTTTGATTTACGCCCGCGCTCATCATGTCCCTCTCGGTGCTCAGCTGTTCGGATACTTCCTCCTCGCGACGGGACCGGGTGCCTTGCCCCTGGCTATGTCTCTCGTCCAGGCGAACTACCGGGGCGTCACGAAGAAGATGACAATGACTGCCATGATGTTCGTGGCATACTGTGCGGGGAATATCGCAGGCCCGCAGTTGTTTAGAGCGAGCGAGGCGCCAACGTATCAGACTTCGTTTAAAGCTATTCTGATCTGCTATATCATTTCTGGTGGCTTGGCTATCTCGTTGAGGGTTTATTTGCAGCTTACTAACAAGAGAAGGGACCATGAGGAGGGCGTTCAGGGCAATGCGAGTCTGTCGGGGGTTGTTGGGGGCAAGGTGGTCCTGGACCGGCGACGAGGTGACAATGATGTTTCGGAGTTGGTGAGGTCGGTCGATTTGCGGCCAGAAGATTATGAGGATGTGACTGATTGGAAGACGGTGGGGTTTCGTTATCGTCTGTAGTGGGTATGGCGGAGTCTTATATGCGGTAGTATATGCTGGATATCATTTATGATGGGCCAGAATTCATAGAAATATACCGAGTATATCAAGACAGGTCGGCTCAGTCCACGTGAAGAATCTAGCAGCCTCAGAACCCAGTACTGTATTCGCAGTGAAAGGATCAACTGCCTTGACAAGTATATGCCGTAAATGAAGGAATACCCAGAGCCCTGGGCTTCAGGAATGGTAGCTGGGTAGAAGAGCTTGACTGAGCCTGTAGTGAGTGCTACTAGTACTATTGACATGCTATCTCAGCAGAGTGTTAGATCGCTTTCGGTTTGCCAGATTCATAATTGGTCATTTTCAACTGGGTGTATGATGAGTAGCTGTGGTAAACAGTCGGCGACGGATTTGCGTACCAGCCTGATGGATGTCTTTAAGCAAATAATCAAATTTCTATGTTCTACAATAGAGTCTACCATATAACTTGCGGCCAACTTGGGTATAGACTGGCAGAGCATGCTCTACTTGGCCGAAAGTGATAAGTACTATTAATTTCCTCCAATGCAAGATCTCAAGAATCAAGGCAGGTAACAAACACTAGGATTGAAGATATGAGAACCCAGAACGCCATGGATATGTAGTTAATAGGAAGAATATGCATAGTGACAATTCGCATTGAAGTTGAGAGCACCAGGCGTCGACAACTTTCCCGCGAATTCTCTATATACCACAGGAAGTCTAACGAATCCGGTCCAGCTTGGCGCGGTTCATAGCAATCTGGTCGTCGACGAAATCGCTCTATAAGGGAATTAGTTCCTATTCTACAAGCATGGTCAAAATTAGGGAAGCTCACCTTTTGCATGATACGCTCCAGATGGCGATTCTGCTCATCCAGCTCGCGACCTGTCGCTTTAGAAAGCCCATGCAACCGGCCTGCAGCTCCGGACAGCAAGTCCAGATTCTGTTCAATTTCGTCCTCCATCGCCTCATCCTCACTGTCAGCCTCGAATTGATACTTAGCACGCTCGGTAGCGTTCGTACGCGCTCGTCCGTTATGCTTGCCGGCTTCACGGTCGATCTCTCTGAACGTACGCTCCATACGCTGGTTGGTGCCGAAAGCCTCCTTGCGAGTGCCTTCACGAGTTTCACGCTCTTCCCGGTGAGTATTCAAGATCTTCTCATCGCGGTCTCGGCGACGACGGGCGCTTGTAAAAGGATTTGAGACGTGAACGGCGAACATGCTCTTGTTAAGAGTCTTCAACTCCTTTGCCTTCTCCTCGGCAATGCGACCTTCTATCGTGGCAATGTCCAAGCTCTTCTCAGTATCGTGGATCCGCTCGCCTTGCGCACCCAAACGAGCAAGAGTTTCCCGACCTGTCTCCTCGGCCTGCGCCGCGATACGAAGCGCATTCCGGGTGGAAGCCACATCACCCTGCTTGATAAACCGAATATCCTGCTTGATGGTCTGGATCTCTTCTTCTTCCTCTTCCTCTGCTGTAAGATGGCGCTCCTGATAGGTCGAAGTGGTGTATGCATTGCTACCGCCGCCGTAAGAGGGAGTGCCCTCGGAGTACGGGGGTGGTGGTGCACCCTGTGACTGCTGTTGTTCCGCTCGTTCCCTAGCTCCTCCAAACAAAGCTTCTCTGCCAGCATCACCTGGATCATTGGGATCGGCGCTACCTAATCCTCCATACCCACCAGGGCCATACCGCGACGCGGCCGGGGCTGGACCCCCACCACCAAATCGATCACCTCCATATCCACCTTGGTTGACAAACTTGTTGGGAGCATAACCTCCTTGGAGCTTGTTGTCGCCAGGAACGTTTGCCCCCGCAGGAGTGTTGTGAGCAGGTGGCTGTTCGCCCGCTGGTAGAGGAGCGACTCCAGCATTTATCTTGGCTTTAGTGTAAGGGTCGGTAGGAATAGGCTTTGCGTAAGGGTTGGCGGGAGGCGCGGGACTCTTGTTCTTCGACCTAGAGCCGAAGAGCGCACGGCGGTTAGAGGAATCGTCGTCGTCCTTCTTGCGTCCGAATACCATCTTGTAGTAGAGCCTGAACTCTGTGCAAATGGGTATGAAGCAAACACACTCAGCTAAAAATAAAATGAAAAGAAAAGAAAGCAGCAATCACAGCAAGATGTGAGATTGAACAGAAGGTGGAATAGCTCCAAATAACTGAGAGGGGGAAGAAGTGAGACAGGAGAAAGGAAATGTGAAACTGGCACAATTAAAGGAGGCCCCTCTTGGGGAATTATTGGATGGAGAGTCGAGACCCCGTGGCGACAAGTATTACCAGTACCACGGCTTAATCAAAGGGTCCTTGACGCTACCTAGTACCTAACTGCAATACCTGTATTGTACAGTACATCCATACAAACCCCATGTGGCAGTGCTGGGCGGTGTAGTCACTAGGCCGGACGGGGTTTAGCCTGTACCGTCAAAGCCTCAAAAGGCCGTCGCCGAAAACATCCAAGGTTGGCTTCTTTGCCTTCCTCTCCCAATCACACGTCCTCAAGTGCTTCCCTGCAGCCATGGCGCCGTATCCTGGGTCTGATGCTGACTATTTTAAGGACAAAGCGCGTAGGGATCTGTTGACTCTGCTTGAAGGCGTGAGTAAGGCTCCGGGTCTCTCAAGGCACCAACAAATCTCTCGGGCTTAGCTGAAATCGGTGCAGGTGCGTGGGAAGAAGAACCTTGTTGTCAGCCAGGATCTGGCCGGTCCAGTCGGGCTCTTTGTCAAGTTCTCTCTACTCCAAGAGTACGGTGTAGACCGAGTGTTCCTACTGGAGAATGCCAATGTGGACTCCTCTCAACGCAATGTGGTATTCCTAGTTCATGCTGAAAAGACACGCCAGGTGCGGACCGTCGCAGGTATGTCGTTTTCTGCTTACCACCGTCTCGTAGTTTTGTTTCTGTCTGCTCGTCTTATGAATGGTGAAGCGCGGACACCACAAATGGGACAAACAGTAGATTACGCGGATGCATTCCTACTCTACGTAGTCAAAAGATCCCTAAATTAAGAATCTTGTTATTTTATATCAGCTCATCCATAAGGCTTTCTTTCTCAATTTCTCCGACTGAATGCCATCAGAATGAGCTGACATCTCTTAGACCAGATTAAACGCCTACAGCGGAATGGAAATGTTGAACATGAATTCTCTATATTCTGGGCCCCAAGACGTACGCTTGTAAGCAATGCAATCCTGGAAGATGCAGGAATCATCGGGGATGTGAACATCGCAGAACTTCCCGTGTACTTCATGCCTCTGGAGCAAGATGTCTTGTCATTAGAGCTAGAGGACTCGTTTAGCGACTTGTACCTGGTAAGCCTGAGCCTTTCCCTGCGAAAGCATGCGTATTGATTGTCGCAGCACAAAGATCCAGGCTGTGTCTATCTGGCTGCCAAGGCCCTCATGGGTATTCAGCAGAGGCACGGCTACTTCCCCCGTATAATCGGCAAGGGCGACAATGCACGACGATTGGCAGATCTTTTGCTACGCATGAGAAAAGAACTTGATGCTGAAGAGAGCTCTGGCCTAACTGACCTCAGCTCCAGGGGGCTCCTCCCAAGCGCAGATACTGAAAGCCTGATCATCATCGACCGTGAAGTCGACTTTGGCTCTGCCCTTCTCACTCAACTCACGTATGAGGGCTTGATCGATGAAACCGTAGGAATCAAGCACAACCAGGCAGACGTGGACACAGCCATCGTTGGTTCAACACCTGCCCCCCAAGCACAAGAATCTTCCAAAGCCCCACAGCAAACATCCAAGCAGGGTCAAAAGCGTAAAATCCAGCTAGACGCCTCCGATCAACTCTTTAGCCAATTGCGTGACGCCAACTTCGCCATCGTCGGCGACATTCTGAACAAGGTAGCCCGTCGTCTCGAAAGTGACTACGAAAGCCGCCACACAGCGAAGACCACAACCGAGCTCCGTGAATTCGTCAACAAACTACCAACATACCAACTAGAGCATCAAAGCCTCCGCGTCCATACCAACCTCGCCGAGGAGATCATGCGAAACACCCGCTCAGACATCTTCCGCAAGATCCTAGAAGTCCAGCAAAACAACGCCGCAGGCGCCGACCCAACCTACCAACACGACTCCGTCGAAGAGCTCATCGCTCGCGACGTCCCTCTCAAAACCGTCCTCCGCCTCCTTTGTCTGGAATCCTGCATGGCAGGCGGTCTCCGCCCACGGGACCTCGAAAACTTCAAGCGACAGATCGTCCACGCATACGGCCACCAACACCTACTCACGTTCTCTGCTCTCGAGAAAATGGAGCTCCTTCAACCCCGATCCTCTGCTACAGCCATGCTCCTGCCGACAACGGGCACCCAACCAGGCTCCAAAACAAACTATGGCTATCTGCGTAAGAATCTCCGTCTTGTAGTCGAGGAAGTCAGCGAGAAGGACCCGAACGACATCGCCTACGTATACAGTGGCTTCGCCCCCCTCAGCGTCCGTCTCGTCCAATGCGTCCTGCAAAAGCCATACGTTCTCTCCCTCATCCGAGGTGGATCCGTCGCTGCCTCCGCCTCCCCCAGTCCAGCCAGTACCGCGTCCCCAGGCTGGCTCGGTTTCGAAGACGTAGTCAAGAGCGCCCGCGGCGCAACGTTCAGCATCGTCCAAAAGGGCGATGACAAGGCGATCCGTGCCCGGCAAACACTTAGCGGTAACAATGCTACCAAGACAGTTTATGTGTTTTTCTTGGGTGGTATTACGTTTACGGAAATCGCTGCATTACGGTTTATTGCTGAGCAGGAGGCACCGAAGAGGAAGATCGTGATCTGTACCACGAGCATTATCAATGGGGATAGAATGATGGAGGCTGCGATTGAGAAGCAGGATTTCACGAAGACGGAATAAGTGATCGTGGGATATGAGGACCTTTGAGAGTAACTGTTATGCATATATCTTAATCGTCATGACTTAGTTAATAATCGTGAATGAAAATGGTACGCTGAGCACTTTATACTGAATTGTTGGATACTGTATACTATTTCTATCTATCGTATCTACACAGATCAATATTTAAACCCGGAATTCACGCCCATCAACCGCCCTTGGTACCTTTCCATCACTTCTCCTAGCTTTACCATGACACCTGCTGCTAACGTTCTAACCTGTTCTCTGGGTTCGTCCCCCTTGACTGAAGGTGTACGGTCGAAAACCTCACCTGCCCACTCACGTAGCTCGATGACCTGCGACGCGAACTCGGTGACGAGTCGTTCCTCGCCGGTAGAGCCTGATGCGACGTTCAAATCTACTACTGCGAGGAAGAAAGCCAGAAGGGCAGAGAGGATTATGGGGTCATCAGAAACGGGACGCGTGTGGAGCGAGAGGAGGAAGGTTATTGCATCCTCTGTGACAGTAGGGAGGTACGGAGTATGAGGCCCCATGGTAGAAAGAGTAAGGGTAAGGGTTTGGATGAATAAAGTAAGAATATTAGGGGTGAGGAAGGGGTTATATGAAGGTGCTGTTGTTCTGTATCGTTGTTAGAATAAGACCTTGATAGAAGTATCATTTTCTTAGGTAGTACTCACGAAGAGAACTGTAACATCATGATCTCAAATCGACCCTTTAGTGGGTAGAAGAACCCTTCCGCCAACACTTTGTAGAGATCCTTAGCCGTAGATTTCTGTCGTTGGGCCTCTCGCTGCTGGCGTTGCTTCTCGACCTCCATTCGCGAAGAGAATGTTCGCACTTTAAGCGCGTTCGGGCCAGAAAGTGAATCTGCAGCATTAGCTGCCAGCGGCTGGAGGGAAGTTTGTGCTAGCTCCTTTGTTAGACTGGCTATTGGGGATTCATTGCTCGAGTATAAAGCTTCCAGATTGGCTGGTAACTTTCCGGATGGGAACGACGCGTCAGGTAGTGTTGGGAGGCCCAGTGTCTTTGCGTCATTCTCGCCATTCCCAGATATTTCACGAGCGCTCAGACCTAGACCTGTCAGAACTGCGGATCGTTGGACTTGAGACAGGTCTCCGTCGAAAAACATCGCAGTGAACCATCTACCCATCTTCAAAGGCTGGGACACGATCAAGGCGATGATACTCTGGAGCCGATACTCATGGAATTTCGGGAATTTGCTCTGCTCTTGTAGACCAACTATGACAAGAGCCAGCTCTTCGGTATTCTCGGCAAGTTCAGTCCCAAAAGCAGTTTTGCGTCTGATTAATGAGGGCGCAGTGCATATCGCCAGTTCAAAGCGTTCTATATTCTCCGTGTCTCTTAGGCAGATTATCAGGTCGCGAATGTAGCTAAAACACGTCAGTCACATTTATACAAGAGGTTATTCTTGCCTGACTCACACTGGCGCTATTGGTTTGTTGCGTTGGACTAACGTTGGGTCCTCGTCTGAATCGTATGGATCTTCATCGGGTTTTTCGTAGGGGATGAGGTCCTCATCTTCTTCGGACTCTTCGTTTTCGGACTCTATTTCTTCAATGGCCACTATCTTCGCTGTCCGCGGAGGTGGTGGTTTCCGAGTAGCAGTTGCTGAATCGGATGAACCTTTCGCAGATTCTGAGTCAGTTGGCAATTTAATTGATTCCAAAGATGCAAAACTGTCTTGAGTGTTGACCAAGTTGAAGTACCACAAGGCCCAGTCACTCTCCATTTCATCGAGGTCGAATTTCATTGCCTTCCCCGGCTTTTCAATGAGCTGCGAAATTGACATCCCAATGATCATTCCAAGAAATCGGGCTTTAGATGATGACGCGGCTAAGCGGTTGGAAACCGTGTTGAGAAACGCACTCGAACGTCCTATTTCCATCATGGCATTTGAATCAAGTCGCCTGACGTATCCTGCTGCCAGAAGGAGGACTTGGGTATTCGCTGAGGTTTGTCATTATCAAGGCCTTAACTACAGTCGCAAAGATGTGGGTGTACCTTCTTGGCTCACAATTGGCGCATGCTTAATATAGAACTTGTCACTAGACTGTTCCAGGCTCTTTTTGAGCAGCGTCATCATTGAGTCTATAACCACCCCATGTTACTAGAGACTACAAGGCAATGCTGAGTTGAGCTTACCATTCTGATCTGCAAAGCTAGCCAACAATGCCCTGCGTAACCCAATAGTCTGTATGGAGCCACCCTGGCCTTTTGACAGCCAATCCAGAAGCTGAGTTTGTATATGTTGGCGCTCTCCAATGATGCTAGAACATAATCCTGCAACACCGTTAACACGCTGGCCCAGAATAGCCTCGTCGCTTTCATCAATCAGTGTCAAGAAATATTTCTTGTCAACTTCACGGAATATGGCTTCCAACACCGCAAACTGCTCCATTGGCCGAAGTTTATCGAAGAGAGAATTATATCGTACTCGGAGAGTCTCGTTGATGAGCAAGCTAGTGTATAATTCGCGGGCCAAATAATCTGGGCATAATCATCAGCATACGAAATAGGATATAAATAATGCAAAGTACCTGTATAACCAAGGCTCAATGCTCGTCCAGTTAGAGAAGTAACCGCTTTCCAAGCACCCTGGTTATCGAAATCAAGTTTTGACACCATGTGACAGATGTTAGTACCTAACCAAGAGGTATATTTGGGGCCGTCTCCAATCCATGAGATTGTACTCAAGCCATCAAAATTCCCAACTAACGTGAGAGCCTCCGCTGTAGCCGAGAGAACCTTGCTAGCAGCAATAAGAGATAGAAATTCTCTCCAGGCAACCTGCTTCTGAGTTGAATTGCTGTAGAGAGCTTCGATATCTATGTATATGCGTAATGTAAGATCTTTGGGCTTCAAGAGAGCAGAAAGGATTGTCAGAATATCTCGAATCTGAATTTGAGACCCTGATGCTTTCGCTTGTTGGGAGGATGACCGAGCTGCAGTTATAAGCGAGCGGAGTTGAGCCACCAAGCAACTGATACCAGATACGCTACTAAAGCATCTCAACAGAACGGCTCGTAGTTTATTGGCCTCTGGTGTTGACCCCTTTGACTTTGTATTCAATGCTGCCCAATGATCAGGGATTGTAACGGTGCCTAAAGCATTAAGTATCTGAGCTGTTGTCGGGCTTGGAACTCTAATATCAAAGGCCTTTGGGATTATGCATTCGTTTGATGGATCCAGAACTTTCAAGACGCCATAAAGTCCCGCGCGGTCAGGCTTCGACTTGAGTACTGTTAATATAAAATCCGCGGATGTTGGATCTGCATCAGTGTCGGCTTCAGAAGTGGCCCTATGCCTCTCTAATCCGTTGACAGGTCCCTCCTCGACAATCAACAGAGACGTATCCCGGCCATGAGTAACGGTCTTAACCTCTGTCAATAAGCCGTCCATTTTCTTGAGTAACTGGCGTTGGAAGAAAATAGAATGATTGGCAAAGGTTGGAGGAAATTGTATAAGCGGTGGGGTCACGTGCAGCGGAGTGTATCTGGAACAATCAATCAGTCAATCAATCAACGACCTCCTATCTTCACTACCTGCGCTTGTTTCCACCAGACATAGGTTGTCTCGTTTGAGTCCTGAGAATTTAGGTGACCTTTAGAAAGGGGATTTATATCCATCATCGACTCTTCTGAAACACTCATTTTAGTGAAGTACAGCCCAAGCCTCTGGCGTCATTAACTACGGATGCTGTGAAATCAACTAATCACAGAGACGCCCATTGTAACCTAGATTGAATAGAGCGCAACCCTTGCTCAATATGGCTTCCGCAGACTCTTCCCTTAGGTGGTAAGATGCCCTTTCTTCTCACTTTTGTCATTAATAATTTCGCTCACTCCACGCAGGAAACACCTCCACAAGGTATTAACTAGGCCGGGACCTTTCAGCGATGAAGACTGGGTGCCTGGTCCAGAGACCATTGGTGCTTTGGAGACATCAAAAATCCTGTATGTTCCGAAGTGATTAAGCAAATCATTAACCACTAACGTCGTCCAGAGTTATGTATGTATATACGCGCCCCTCCTGTTGTTGATGGGTATGGTCACTAAGTGAAACGATCTTAGCGGGGCTGGAGGTTTAGGATGTGAGATCCTGAAGAACCTTGCTTTGTCAGGCTTCAAGGATATCCATGTTATTGATATGGGCAAGTCTTTCCCCTATCACTTTGTCCGGGATACCGCAGCTAACTTTAACAGATACCATCGACATCTCTAATCTAAATCGTCAGTTTTTATTTCGCCAATCTGACATCGGCAAACCTAAAGCCGAGGTTGCCGCGGCTTTCGTAGAGAGACGAGTCAAAGGTGTCAAAATTACACCTTATGTAGGGAAGATTCAAGATAAGGATGAGGATTACTACATGCAGTTCAAGATAGTCGTTTGCGGTCTCGATAGCATAGAAGCGAGACGATGGATCAATGCCACCCTTATTGGCATGGTTGATCCTGAGAACCCTGAGAGCCTGAAGCCTCTCATTGATGGAGGAACTGAAGGTATGTAATTAGGCCACCTGGGCTATCACAAAATACTAACAAGGACCAGGCTTCAAAGGGCAAGCGCGTGTTATTCTACCAACCCTGTCTTCGTGCATTGAATGCCAGCTTGACATGCACGCGCCCCGCCCTGCGGTTCCGCTGTGCACAATTGCGACTATCCCTCGGCAGCCCCAACATTGTATCGAGTGGGCGCACCAGATCGCCTGGCAGGAAAAGCGCAAGGACGACCCATTCGATAGTGATGATCTTGACCACATTGGTTGGGTGTATAATGCAGCTCTTGAGCGAGCAAAGCAATTTCATATTCACGGAGTCACCTTCCAGATGACCCAGGGTGTAGTCAAGAACATTATTCCTGCAATCGCCTCCACAAACGCCGTCATTGCCGCTGCGACAACATCTGAGGCTTTAAAAATCGCCACATCGTGCAACCCGTACCTTGATAACTATATGATGTACGCCGGTGAAGAAGGTGTGTACACATATACGTTCGAGGCTGAAAAGAAGCCGGATTGCCCTGTCTGTGGCAACCTCGCGCGAAATATGACCGTTGATCCGGACATGACGCTACAAGAGTACATCGACACTCTTGGCGACCTGCCGGAAGCTCAGCTTAAGAAGCCTAGCATGAGAACGGAAGAAAAGACCCTCTACCAGCGTTTCCCCCCCCAATTGGAGGAACAGACCAGGGTCAATCTGAACTCTAAGCTTAGGGATTTAGTAGAAGACGGGCAAGAGATAGCAGTCAGCGACCCCGCTTACACCATCGATTTCCGCTACCGGTTGTTGTTCAAATAAGAATACCAACTTTTCACTCTTCATATGAGATATGAGTCGTTACGATAAATACAAGACATTCTTACTAGATCAAGGCTTCAATATCAATTGTGAATTTTCTATGTGACAAAAATCGCCCTATCCAGACTCCCAAAGAAGGTCTTGACCGACTTTTTATGAATTGTACAAACTCGCAAAATAGCAACGAAACCAACGCCGACCATGCATTAAAGATTTAAACATGAAAAGCGGGAACATAGCATAGAACACATTCACCGCATAAGATCCGCCAATCCCCGCTTCCATCTGGCGCATTTGAGCTTCAGGACCTTCACGCTTTCTAAGAAAAGGACATCGCTATCGAATTGGCCTGTACTCTCGATGTTGAAGATGAAATGATCACGGACGCGACCGAGCTTCACCTTGCCCTGGAACTCCTCATGCCTGAGACATTCCCTGCTAACGGTATCCTTGAAGGCATCGCGAACAACAGCTTTTGTCTCGCCCTCGTGGCCCTCGTATCCGCTACCCTGCTTCGCGGCCTCTTCCCGGGTAACAGGCTCCAAACCAATCACGCCCTTAGGGAAGCACTTGGCGAACTTCTTAGCGTCTTCTCCAAGAATGGGGCGCAAGATCTGGATGTCGGGAAGCAAACGGTATGAGGCGGTGGCAACAGGCGAGAACTTAGCATGGTCGGCTCCGATACCCTTGATACAGTGCATTTCCAGGTCGATCTTCTGACCCGGGCGAAGCTTAGCGATCAGGATGTCTGGGTTAACCGGCTGGATGGCATCCTCGCCAGTGAAGAATTGCTCCTGGCGTCCGACAGGGTGGAAGGTAATGTCTCTGGCGTAAACATGCGCATTCTTGTATAGCTTTCGGGGGTCATTCTCCGAGGGGTCGGCGTTAGGGTTCTCAGAACATTCGATATCCAGTCGCAAGACGATGGTATTGTAATCGGAAGGATCACTACCCTCGGGTTCATCCTCAGTTGCCTTCTTGAACCAGCGCATCCAGTTTATACCATCCACGGAACCCTTCAGTGGAATCAGACCCAATCGCTGTGCAAGCACTTCATCCTGAATGACGGAGGTGTTGTTGTGAACGAAGACGAACTCGATGGCTACGCTGGGCACTTCAGCCATGACGATGCGGCGGAAGGCATTTGCGATCGATGCATCGACGCCGATGAGAGAGAAGGAAGATTCGAATCTTTCATTTCTATGGAACTCAACATTGAACCCCTGTAGACCAAAATAATGTAAGCGCACGCAAAACAGAGAGGCAGGGAAGTGCATAGAATGCAAAGGAGAAACAAGGACCGTACATTTCTAAATTTCTCCAAATTCCACTCATGCGACTCACCCGGCCAGTGACCTGGGAAGTCTGTGGAGGGGATGTTGGAGACTGTTTCCAGATTGATGTCGACGAGCTAGGAAAATAATCAGCATGGTAAGCAAACGCGAATAGGTGCTCATAGGTTATATTACCCTCCGGCGATCAAGCTCCGCCTGTGAAGGAACGAGAGGCGCCATGATGGGTGAGTAATTTGCGGGTATCAAGTCGTTGATGATATGGAGAGAAAAAAGGAAAAAAGTTCTTTAGAAAACCGGCAGTATTTCATCAGGTCGAAGGCGGAGAGTATACATCACTATACTGCACCTGAGGGAGTACACAACTGTGTGGAAGGGCGGCCCGTGATTTACCGATTTTCCTAGAAGTGTGAGCTAGCGTGGGTGCAGAATAAGACGGAACTGAAGACCAACCAGAGACGGTCTGATGACCATAAGCTCTCCTCACGTGACCATCCAAATTGTAATTCAGCGTAACCTCCAAGCATCAACCCGTGTAGACCACTCCGCAGAGTCCCTACATCAATTGCGTCCGGACTGAGGACCGACAGCCTCCAATTCCTCCTCGTCCTTCTCCTCTCTCTTCCGAATGGCTGCTTCCTTTACTCGCCTGGCGGGCAGTGCGCCCAAAAGGCTCTGTCTCCGCCCCTCCAACTTCGCCAAATACAACGCCATCCCCAGATCCCGCTCGATAGCAACGTCGCTTCCTCGTCGGCAAGCGGAGCCGACCAGCTTCCAGGCTACCAGACTTATTCCTACTGACCCCACCTTCACAAGTCTGGCTAACAAGGAAGGTCCCCAAGAACCCGATGTTGCCGCTGGTCTCGAATCCGAGAGTGAAGGGGTCGGCCGCAAAATCCGTCACTACACAGTCAACTTCGGTCCTCAGCATCCTGCTGCTCACGGCGTGCTTCGACTGATTCTGGAGATCAATGGTGAAGAGATTGTCCGCGCGGATCCTCACGTCGGATTGCTTCATCGTGGTACCGAGAAGTTGATCGAATACAAGACCTACATGCAGGCTCTGCCTTACTTCGACCGATTGGACTATGTCTCCATGATGACGAATGAACAATGTTACTCGCTGGCTGTCGAGAAGCTGCTGAACATTGAAATCCCTGAAAGAGCCAAGTATATCCGTACATTGTTCGGAGAGATGACCCGTATTCTGAACCACCTCATGTCCGTCCTTTCTCACGCTATGGATGTTGGTGCTCTTACGCCATTCCTGTGGGGTTTCGAGGAGCGTGAAAAGCTCATGGTAAGCAACATTAATTTCACCATAAGCAGATTAGACAAGGTAGTTGATGGTCAATCCCTCACATAGGAATTCTACGAGCGTGTCTCCGGTGCCCGTCTCCACGCCGCCTATGTCCGCCCCGGCGGTGTGTCCCAGGATATCCCCCTCGGCCTTCTCGACGATATCTACCAGTGGGCTACTCAGTTCGGTGACCGTATTGACGAGACCGAGGAGCTGCTCACCGATAATCGTATCTGGAAGGCCAGAACCCAGGGCGTTGGTGTTGTCAGCGCCGCTGATGCACTGAACATGAGCTTCACTGGTGTCATGCTCCGTGGCTCTGGTGTGCCATGGGATATCCGCAAGTCCCAGCCCTATGACGCTTACGACCAGGTCGAATTCGACGTCCCCGTAGGTGTCAATGGTGACTGCTACGATCGTTATCTCTGCCGTATGGAGGAGTTCCGCCAATCTCTCCGTATCATCCACCAGTGCTTGAACCAGATGCCCGCTGGCCCTGTCAAGGTCGAGGACTACAAGCTCTCGCCTCCCCCTCGCGCCGCTATGAAGGAGAACATGGAGGCCCTTATCCACCATTTCCTCCTCTTCAGCAAGGGTTACGCCGTTCCCCCCGGTGAGACCTACTCTGCCATTGAGGCCCCCAAGGGTGAGATGGGTGTTTTCCTGGTCAGTGATGGCAGCGAGAGACCCTACCGTTGCAAGATCCGTGCTCCTGGTTTTGCCCACTTGGGTGGTTTCGATCAGGTCGCTCGCGGTCACTTGCTGGCAGATGCTGTCGCCATTATTGGTAAGTCCTCATAACTCTAAAACGCCTACAACTTGTTAAGAACGCTCCGCTAATCTTCAAACCCAGGTACAATGGATCTGGTGTTCGGTGAAGTCGACCGGTAGACGAATAAAGGCAAGAGGAATCTCCAAAGCTTCTGTAAACCGACTTTGACTTGATTCTTCCAAAGAATAGAAAAGAAGCAAAGATAAAGCTCTAAAAAAAATAACCTTCCATCTACCTCCTGGTTCTTCTCCGTGCTCAACCTCATCGCGGTGATGCTGTTGGATCATCAACATTACCTCGCTGTACCAATTCCGTTTTTTAATGGCGTTGTCTATTTCCTTTGTTTGCCGACTCTACCTGAATCCCAATCTCTATCTCTTTTCTTGCCATCATCTACCCTGTGTATAGTGACCGAATTTCAAGTTACAATATCATGTGTTAACTAAATGGGGATTTTATCATTGTAGGTTTTTAGAATTGTATGTGTAACGTGCTAGCATACTACTTAATAAAATGATGGTTATATTACTAGCCTGTCTTACGTAGGGGAACAGAAACTATTATCAGTGGGTGGGGGGATATATATATATATCGGCGCGATAGTTACCCGTTTTCCAGTGATAAACAGAACGATGACAAAACTAGGAAAAGTTAAGCAACGAACGTCACAAACATGGAACTATGAGAATAAAATAAGTGATTGATAATATATGCTACTCCAAGCTAACTACTAACCCGCTCCTGAAACGCCCATAAAACATGCGCCTATGCAAATGCAACTTGAGAATGGAAATATCGACAAAGTAACGACCGAATGCATCAGTTTGAATATGTACTAGATAAGCAATCGGCAATCCTCTGAATAATCTTGGGTGATTGTGAAAGACCAGCTGTCGGAGGAGGGTAGATTGGTCCCAGAACATGCAAGAGCAGGCGTAGATGGATACCATCGCTTGAGAAACAAAAGCATGATGTTCAATATTGACAGTGAGCCACCTTTGACAGTACCATCATACACAGTTATACGTTGTCGTCATCATAGAAGAAGTTGATGTCGCGGGGCCGGCGTCGGTTGTACGAGACAAAGTCACTGTCGCCTGGAGGTCGTTCGTCGCGCGTATTTGCGGTCAGCATGCTTTGAATGCTCATGCAGACGCTCTCAACTGTTTGTACAGGTGACCAACCGGCAGAGCTTAGTAGGTCTAGGCATATGATTCCGTTGCTGTATATGTGCGGGTGGATCGGGATCGGGCGAGGGGTCTCAGATGTGCTAGGTAGCTCGATGAACTGGACTTCCGGCGGTTCTGGGCAATGGAGTCTTGCTTAGTATGATCGACGTAAAAAAAAAAAAAAAAAAAAAAAAAACAAAGGTAACACAAGGTAATGTAACACCAGGGCATAAAATCAAACATACCTATTGGGTACTTGGACGAGAATGTGAACTTGAGCCGATAGATCTGATTCTGATAAAGCGGATTCTCGTCCAAGACTCGGATATCCATCTGCCACTCTTCAAGATTCTCCGATTTGGCTATTGAAATACCTGGCGGCAGATGTTCCTTCATCTAAATTAATTCCCATAGTTAATTATTCTGTGCATAATCGACACTAGGCATGATAGTATACAGCAAAGACGTGACACTGCTATTGATTGAGGCCGTAACCTATCTTTCAAAGCGGTAGACAAAATCGGGGCGTGAGGAATAGAAGGGGATGTAGGTACCTTGAGGAGCTCCTGTTATTGCGCCAAGTTAGCCTGTGAAATATTGATTCAACGACGGGAACAATTACCTTGCTCAAGCGTTTACCCGCAAACATGGTGAGAGATATGCGTTTCAGATAGTGGGTATATTGTTCCCAGTACTGTGGAATTGATTTTTGACGAGAATCTTTCTCTTCGCACGCTAGTTACTCCCATAGGTAGCAGAATCTTTGAGCCGCAAAGATGTATGACGTCTGACTCTTAACGTGGGGCGATCCACCGCCTCGGAAATGTTGCAACGACGTGAGGAAGGTTGAAGGAAAGGAATGAAGAGGTGGACAAACACAGGACAGGATCAAAAGTCGTAGAGGCGTAAGTAATACTGCTCGGAGAAAGAGAAGAAAAGCAATAAGCCGGCCGAGGGCATATCAATGATTCAACGACCGCCTACGGGGCGTACCTTTATACACCCCCCAGCCGATCACCTGCCTGGGACTCACTTCCCCGACACACATCATATGATTGGCTCACGCACCGAATGGTCAAATGGTGGCCTGACACGTGATGCTTATCCGCCTGATAAGGTCATTCTCTAAAAGACTACGAGGGCAAGGACAAGTATATTTAATGTTTGAATAATGGAAGAAGAAAAAACTGTTGATGGTATGGACACGAAGGCAGAAAGAGACAGTGAAGCCAAAAGAGGGATTTTGAAGAACAAGCACCGAAAGCTCTCAAGAATAACAACACAGTTACTGAATACACCATTCGGATTATGGACGGGGAATCATGAAAATAATATTCACAAAGCAACTCAGATGTGTCTTGACCTCGAAACTGGTCAGGGAAGGATGAACGAGCTCTCACTTTGAACGCCATAGCATAACAGAAATTAAGTATGGGTAGTTTTCTCTCGAGCCTCACGTTCGAGTCTCTCACGTTCTTCGTTGTCCTTCTGCTCACGAACCTTTGCAAGAACAACCTCACGGAAGATAGCTCCGCGTGCAACCTTGCTCAAACTCCGCTTCTTTGTTGTACCAGCCTCGGCCTCAACATTAGCTGACGCCTCGGCCGGCGCAGATCCAGATTTGCTAGACTCCTCAGCAGAAGCTGCCATGTCAGCAGGGCTAGGGATGTCATCCTCATCCTCTTCCTGCATCTTGAGTGCCTCGATGCGGTTGGCCAGCTTGATGATCTCAATGCCTCTCCTGAGGCGAGACTTAGCAATGTAGGCGCGGATTTCAGGCAGCAAGTCACGGTCACTAGCAGATTCGCCCTTCAACCAGGGATGCTTGAGGGCCTCCTCGGATGTGACACGCTTTGATGGATCCGGCTGGAGCATCGTAAGGATGAAATCCTTGGCATCTTTTGAGACGTCTCGCCAGTAGCGGTCATGGAAAATAATCCGGCCACTACGACATTCCTCGATCAGATCGGACAGGCTCTCGGACCGGAAGGGTGAATAACCACACAGCAGGGTGTATGTGATGACACCCAGAGACCACATATCGACGGCCTTGCCGTGGCCTTGTTTGAGCATAACTTCGGGTGCGGCATATCCAAATGATCCAGCCATGCTAGTCAATACTTCACTGGGACTGTCCAACATCTTGGCAATGCCAAAGTCGGCTAGAACCAAAGGCGAGGATGGGTCACGGGTAAGGTAAAGCAAGTTTTCTGGTTTCAAGTCTAAGCGATTCAGAGTTACAGTTAGCACATGACACAGTATCATATAAGGGGAGAGCGTTGAAGGTGCAAAACGAACCTCGGTGGACAATATTCCGTTCATGCAGATAATTGACTGCGTCTAGCACTTGCCGAATGGTTTGAGATGCATCCTTCTCAGTAAACTTTCCGTAGTCGCAAATTCTATCGAACAGCTCACCACCGGTGGCCAGTTGGGTGACAATGTAGAATTTGTCCTTTGGCACCGTTAGACTATAGACACTGGTATAGCGCGGTGAAAGGCACGCACCTTGGATTCGAACCAATCGACAAAATGGACGATGTTCGGGTGATCAAGGGCTTGCAACATCTCCAACTCATCGTAAACCATCTGCTCGTTGCCCCGGACATTCTTCTTCAGGATGATTTTAACAGCAACTTTTCCACGACTGCAATCTGCCTCACGGACAATACCGTACGTTCCAGCACCAAGTGTTCTCCCAAACTTGTATAGTTGCCTAGAGCAAGCTCCCACTGGTTACTAACTGTCGAATGGCATGTCAAGGAATCATTAAACGCAGGGGAAAGGCCGTACTTTTTCTCATAACTCTCGGGCTGTCCCGACAGCTTGTTGAGCATATTAGTGACTGTAGAGCAAAGAAATAGTCAGCGCATTTGCTACAATACTTTCAAACGTCAAATCACCAAGCTTGGTAGTCCAGCGGATGAGCCAAAAACCAGGCGATGTAGTATGCTCAGACCATGTAACCACCAGGAGGTGAACAATAGCCAAAGGCTTGCGCCATTGCTCCACAGAGCTATTGCGACAGTTGACGAGAACATTTCGAAGACTTGGGAAAGTATGATCCACCCCACCAGTTGATGTAGGCAAAACAAACAGGCTTCAACGCGGGCGAGCAATCAACAAGAAATAGTAACATTTCAACCCCGCTCAATTGACAAGACGGGGTGCGAAATTGAAAAAAAAAAAGAAACTCACAACTCATTGTGTCTGAATTGTAATGACCGCCTTGAGTCACGAAAAATTAGTTGTGTGGCGAGCTAAGGCAGTAGGCTTGACGCCGATGAGACCCCGCACGTGAGGGGGTATTGGCGGGGCGGAGAGGAGATCGTTGTTAAGGGAGTCGAGAAGACAGGTTATTATAATTATCGTTCAGGTATCAGCTGGAGAAAGCTATCACAGTCAGTGAGGGGGTAATACTGCTACAAGAGAAAGTTAAAGAGATTGTGCCAGCGACGCAGATCCTCAGATGAGCCGTTGAACAGAAAAGACTTGTCTCCATGCTTGATCAGGGGGCGGGGGGTAACTGGAGTAAACAAACGGTACTATACCTACTTGAACGTTCGTTGTGAGTATAAAGAGAAAGTTAACTTCCAGTGTGAGGATACTGGAAGGACAGAAAATGGAAAAAAAGAATCAATTAAACATAAGACTGAAGTCAGCCTCAGGCGTGGATAAATATAAAAGATAATGGCGTGAAACACCAGCCCAAGAGCAAACCAGAGAAGGTGGGCATTGGGTAACGTAAGTTCACAGTCTGGCCCCTCCGATAGAGTTTAGTTCACCCCCGTGGCTGTGCTCGGATCGGATTCGGGACAGCGGATTGGCCCACCTCCGTTGCCTATTAATTTTGCATGTGGGAAAAAGGACCTCTTGCAGGCAACAGCCACAGTTTTTTCAGCCTTGTCCCACGTCGTAAGGAAGGTATTTTACCAGGCTTCCTCTTTTTCGCGCCCTTTTCCCCACAAATCTCAATAAGATCCAGGTCAATTGGGCAATAAAAATACGCGTTGAGAAAATGCACTATTGACAAGACCCATGGAAGGTCTCTTCTCCAGAGCAAAATTAGAACAGCTAGGGAATTCTAGGTACTTCGTTTTCGTATCACTGATGCCAACCCAAGTGGCTGAGTCTTTAATTTAATCTGACAGCCCTGCCGTTTTGGAGTGAGACCTGGTTGTTGATAGCCATCAACACCGGCCCAATCTAGGTGATCATCTAGTAATCCAAACCTGTTCCTTGGCCATCTTAGTTGACAATTTCGGCAGTTGTCATGGTCTATCAATCTTCCAGGGACCAAACATAGCTCAATCCGACAACAAGAGGGAACTTCCATTCCTAGTTTTGCTTTTGCCCCCAAGCTCATGGGTAGCTAGTGTTACCAGTTGAATGAGTGTATCAAATTAGCCCCAAGACATTTTGATCTAGGAGACTGAGTACATTCACCCATATATGCCCATTATATCTACGCACTTGTAAGGGGTAGACATTCTTTGACAGCTCCTTGCCAAGCTCAAGTACTAGTAATACTACATAGTTGTTGGGTCACGGGTGGATATATGACCCGCTATTGGAGCCTGGAGGTTTAACATAGCTTCCCACTGATGCAGAGATCTCATGCTCATAGAATCATGGGTACATGCCCAAATGAAGTAGGGGTTGTCAACTTTACACTTTTCAATAATCTTATTAAAGAAAGCTATTCTTTATAATATAGTTGAATAAATTATTTGTGGAGCGCGAAGCGCTCTGCAATTATTCTATTGTTCAGTAGCTAGTAACATCGGCAATAAGGAAGAAATCTATTTTACAGGGTTTGATAGAGTAAATAGAAGTATACTCGCTTCCTTATTATCCTAGTAGAGGTTAACCTTTAGTTTATATATTCACAGAGTTTCTGATTTCTGCTTTGCATATGTTCTGGTGAGCTATAGTTCAAAACGTCATTCATTATGAGAAGTGAACCCAATAACATGGGCATATACTGTACCTAATCTTATTTTCACCTCTGGTATTATAGGGCAAAAAAGGAGAAGGAAAATTAAGATTCATGAACAGATACCGGTCAGAAGAAAGATATAAACTAGCCGAGTGTCCTCAAATGACTAAATGAGGGGAGAGACAAAGTTCCTGTAGTAAATTACCCAAGATCTGTAAACCCAATCGCCATTTATGTTGAAAATATTGGAGTCGGTACATCTTAAGTAAGCACTTGACATCGATAAAGTCAGATATGAAGAAATCACATAACCAAGGCTATGTTCGCTGGGCCAGTACAACCCCATACAGGCATTATATACCCGCGTTCCCTGTAGTCGCAAGCAAGAAATGGGCGGTTGTTTGGGCCCGCTTTCAATTTACATTCGATACATGTGTCGAATGCAGCTCCACTATCGCCAGTATGTTAGTGAGGGATTCTTCTCCCCATTTTGCAATTAGTCCCAACCGAAAACAGTGTACATACTGCGTCTTGAACTCGAGTTGACCTTTTTAATTGTACGTAAGTCAAAAGAATTGTCTTTGGAATTACCATCTCAGTCTGAACACGTTGCCGAAATTCTATGGGATATAATATCGTCTATATGCCATGATATGCAGCTGACAGTAAATTTGACCATTTTAACATCAGATTGGGTGGTAGCCAAAACTGACAAATAAGATAAAATAACTACTGGAGTTCAATGAATGATTGTCAAGTTAGAACACTAGCGGAGGAGTGGAATTTGAGAATACTCCAGAGTTCGTAGATTGGCTATAGTCAAGCTGTTGGTGTTCCCTCGGGCTATGGATATAGATACTGCCTTAGGTTCAAGATCATTTAAATCTCTCCGAGCATCTTTTCTTGTGTTTCAACATCTGAATGGAAAGACCATTATAATCTGATAGGATTATCTTACACTTTGAATCCTCCATTGATGAAGACACATGAAGCTCATAAAGAGTATATCGTTCCTTTTGATATAATGAGATAACATAGATGAAACACCACATAAAAGGTGAGCGTTTTATTTCGGTTTTGGCAACAAACCGGCGAGACCCTTAATATAGGAACTGCTGTTTCATGAATGACAATTGGTAGTTATCTGGGAATTAGTATGATGAATATGTGGAAGACAATATGATCCGAGACATTCGATGATGCTCGAGTTACTGAAAATGTTGTAGCACCAAAAATAATGGAGATGAAACCAACCAATAACTCCAAGCATTACTCCCTAAATGCAGTATTCGATAATGCTCAGTAACTGGACGTGGTTGCTGAAACGAGAACATGGAATTAAGCCAAGGTAATCCGTCAGTATAATAGAACTTCTACGGAGTATTGAGAAAGCGCACTTGACAGCCAAGAAACACAATCTTAATCTACATGCCCATTCTGCCTAGATTGACGTAAATATATATTAACTTATCGTTTGCAAGCTTTATATACCCATTCTAAATGTTAGAACTCCTTCCCCCTCATACGATGAAAAAGACAGAATCGCGCGCATCAAATTTTCTATTATAGCCCACATATTATGGGCCCCCATACATTACAATTTACAAAGGGACGACCAAACAACGGCCAAAATTTGTTCTTGACAATTAAACTTGGCTTCTATGCAGATCGTGGTATATATTAAGAGAGTATCCCCTTATATGCCATGAAAACGTTTGAAATATTATACTGGTTTAGATTAGTATTCGTCAAGTGTTGATCTGAGCAGCTGACCTTTCGCTATATCCTGCTTAATAAAGTAAATCCTGGACACTTTCAATGGCAAAGCTAGTTGATCTCCCCGTCGAGATCCTTCTACTCATCCAGGAATATCTCTCCAAATCAGCACTCAATTTTTTCAGCCAAGTATGCCGGAATTTCTACTCTATTTCCAACTCTACACTTTACAAGAAGAACATTGCCGGGGCATTATGGCGAGCAACAGCAACAAGAAATGCCGAAACCATGCGCAAGCTGCTAGAATATTGTCCACGGACTAAAGAGTATGACCTGCAATATACTATATGGAGCCCCCTTGGTCACACACCTATGTCAGCAGCGGTAAATGGTGGAAGCACTGAAGTAGTTCAGGCCCTCATAGACAGCGGTTTCGACACGTCTACTAAAGACAGGAATGGCTATACACCTCTCTCAATGGCAGCATTGTATGGCCATACTGATATTATTGCAATTTTGCTGCAGACTGCTATTGACCCGGATCAGAAAGATATGTATGGTCGAACTCCTTTAAGCTGGGCCGCTGAGTATTGTCATATGGATGCTGTGGGGCTTTTGTTAAATTACGGCGCGGATCCTCATTGTCAGGATGATGATTATCACATCGTTGAAACTAGGGCAAGACAAGAAGGGCTTTACCTAGTGCCTTTCTTCTTGATGAACCATGAACGGTTATATAAGCGACCCATCCCTCGGAAGCCTATAGAATGGGCTGAGCGAAATGATTGTGCGACTGTTTTTGAGCTGTTACAGCAAAGAAAAGGAAATGAGAAAAAGATCCCCTACATATTCAAATTGATTGTGCACTAGCTCATTCTTGTTGGATTTAAAGCCAAAAGTTTCCCATAATAGCATCGTGATTCGCTAGTAAGCAACTAGTTTCAAAATATGATGGGGCGGTGAGGAATGGCAGTATTTTCATACCGTAGCATCTTCCCCCACTCTTTCAACTTGATAATTCGACAAAAAACTGGCGCCTGTTGAAGAATGACTGCCATTTCGCCTGTGGCGGACCCTCTCGCCGTCTTACCTCCTGAGATAGTTCTACGCATCTTGGAGTTCACCCCAGTCTCCGCCGTCGCATCTCTTACCGCAGTCTCCAAGGCTTGGCATGAATTTATCGACGTCACGCATCAAGAGGCCATCTACAACTCCGATTCCAAAACCGCCCAACCGCCAGGAGGGAACCGTGATTTCTCGTTTCTTTCGGACAATACCAGTTTCACAAAACTATTTGATGATATAGCGTCATGGAAGGATCTTTGTAAGCGCCAGACACTGCTCGCTCGTAACTGGGCCGAGTCCCAACCAGTTTGCCGGGAGTCAGTGGTGCAAATCGGCAACGACCCTGTCTGGCGATTTCGACCGGACTTCAAGCGTCGGTTCTTCGTTTCTACATCCCATGCGGGTGGGTTAAATGTCACTGATATGGATACGGGCCAGATTCTGTGGCGTCTTCCTTCCACGTTAGATAGTGACGAGGATGCGGTTCGTCCATACGCGCACCTGGAGTATCAGGACGGGATGGCTGTATTTGATCGCGAAGGGGATGCTGTCGAGGTATGGCAGGCAGGGCTAGAAGGCGCAGCACGTGGAGAGTTCCGGCGTATCGCGGTCTTGAATCACGATTGTCAGACAAGAGGCTTTCAGTTGTCTTACTGGACACTCTGCGTAGTGTCTAGCCAGGGACAGGGTTTTGTGTATGACATGACACAACGACCTCCCAAGTTGACCACCCATGTTGAGATCGAGCATGGCGCCATTGGTCATTTAGACCAAAGCAAAGATGCCGTGATTTACTCCATGGGGCCGGGAGGCTATCATGCCTATGACAAACAGTCAGGTGCGTTTTTAGGTGCTTTGCAGCCGTCTCATTGTACCGACAAGTATCATATACGTCCACCGGCTGTTAGTTCTATCTCGGCGAGCGCGGCACTAGCGGGAGCGATGCGACACTTTCCGCCAAATCGAACATTTCCTCTTGGAGCACCTCGCAAAGATAGCCTGATACCACTCAAGATTGCCAAAGGCCCCCTCCCACCGCCCAGTGACCCTGGGCATGTCAGGCATGGTGAGGACGAGTGGGGAGCTGGCATGTTGCACGGCAACGTTTTCGTCGGCTTCTCACGCGCTGGCCGTGTCTTCATTTGTGCCGACTGGCGCAAAGCTCTGCACGGCCCAGGTAGTCTCGCAGCGCACAGCTCCCTAATTGAATGCGAGTCGGATGGGTCAGGCTTTGACCTGGGTGGCTGGTTATCTGTGCACAACCACCGCCTGATGTTCGAAATCGAAGACCGGATTTATATTGTGGCACTTGACGATGATAATAGAATTCAAGACATCGATTGTCCCGCTCGCGCTTCATATTCACTTCTCACTAGCTCTGCGCCGCAGCTCGCTGTGCCGGTTAGTTTCATGGCATTGTATGATGATGCGATAATGACCACTTACACTGTATGTTCCACTACAATGGCCAATGCAAAGATGCAAACAAGAAAAGTTAATATCAAGACCTGCAGGCACTCGGTTGGCGCCAACCACTCCCAGGCGATGCGGCTCCCCAAGAACATGAAGGTCACACCCGCCTCTTCCCGACTAAAGCCATCCGCATCGTCAGCTTAGCCCCGGACCTTTCTGATGACAAGTCTTCAGCCGATACAGCCCAAGCCACAACAGCGGTGAGCTCTTCGGCGCCAGAGGCTTGGCGCTCGCCAACACAAGCTGGCCTGCTGCAGTTGGTTAGTATGCTGGGTAACGAGCTTGATGACTTCGATGATGGGCTGGAGATGATGGAAACAGGAGATGACGATGGGGAGTGGGAGGATACGGATGAGACTGAGAATGAGGACCATGATCAGGAGTAGACGGCTGCACGTGCACCTGAATCAACCTACACCTGAGTCCTAAACAAGGTTTGCATCTAAGCATCGCCTTTCTCCTGGCTGATCTTGACCCTCCTGGTGTATCCAGAACAAGCGACTGATCATGGCACGTGGACTGCGCCCGTGCACCGATAAGATAAAGAGGGCGTCGAGGCATATCATGGAGACCTTGTCTATCCCAAGGACGCTGTTGAACAGTCCTGCACACAAGGTGGATGCCAATTTTTCGAGGGGTAGACAAAGGTACGAAACCTGACCTGTCCCTGTGCGAGACTACAGGTACAGTGAAAATACGCCGGTTTACAGTCTGTGGATAATACGGAGCAATATCCAACGCAGAACGACATCGAATGAATATCATAATGAAATCAAAAGATATCGATATTTTTTTTGCCGGTCAAGCTTTCAACTCTATCTCTAGTGGAGAGTCAATTCAAGCAACAAATACAATAAAGCAGCTGCGAACAGATGGAGACTACGACCGAGGAATCACAGGATACATTTAGAGCACAGCGCTCACCCTTGGACTTCGTAGTAGAAGCTCAATCGGCAGGATCAAACGGTGGCTTGACAGCTGCTCAGGAGAATAGCACGAAGAATAGTGCTAGTAAGTACAATAGAAAGGTTTGGATTTAGTAGAGCGACAATATCAGCCTTACCATCTGCTCAGAATCACAAAAAAACATCAATCACTTGTTATTTACACTGACGCGCCAGGATATAAGCACTGGAATAGCTCCAGAAACTGTTGACACCTACAGTGTGAGTAGAATAGACAACGGGCCATCCTATAGGTATTTCTGAACAGCCAGTGTTTAAGAACGAGCTTACTTCCTCAGAGTCTTTGGCGCAGATCGCGAGCGCCAATGCGTCAGCTTCAGATAAAGAGTCACCTGGACTCAAGACATTCAGACCTAAAACCATTATTAGCAAATAGCGAAGTACACATATTCTTAGAGCTAATCTACAAAAACACTGGCTTCAACCATACCAATACAGATCATCGCAAGATAGCAAAAACTAGTTTAGCGCTTCAAGGCCATGCTCAGACACAGTAAGCAGTATTTAACGCTTTGCTAGGTGGACCGCTGCATGGCTGAAGCTAATTAGCCGATTCATAGTCGAACGTTAGATGCAGAATGTGACGGAAAACCTGGCTCATCATCTAGGGGAGCTGACTGGGTCGGGCAATGGAGGCTCTTGAGACTTATCATAGATTGCATAAATCCTGCAATGAAGATAGTAGTTACGGTATCTAGTAAAAGTTTACATTCGCGTCTATATTTCACGCACGTTTATGAGTGGTAGAAGGTAATAATGCTGAGATAGGCTACGTATAGGCCGGTATTCACAAGGGGAGACTAAAGGTTTTATTGACTGGTGGGCGTTGAGTCAGGTGAAAGGGATTGGTGTACTTCAAGTTTTGTCCACCAGGCACCAAAAAGCCAATTTTAGACCGGACCATCGCTCGCCGTATGCGAGATAAGTCTCAATCAAAGGGCTTCAAACAAAGACTGTCAAGTCCAAGTTTCGGAAAAACGAGGCTGAAGAGTATACTGAAACATCTCGAGTCAACTGCACATGGTTCGACATAGCGGCTTAGTGTCAACGCTCCAACAAAGTAACGCATACTTGAGGCATTCAAAGAAGATCCCTTGGGATATTTGAACATAGAAACACCCTGAAAGTGAACCGAGAAAATGATAAATACCCCAAGTCAGCTCATAATCCCGCCTTCGATCCAGAAATCCCGAGCCCGGTAGCTATTTTAACTATTCTAATAAGAACCTGTACTGAAGCCAGCGATGCTTGCTTTTCTGTTACTATCAATATTATATACTGCGTGCGCCACGTCCAATGTACTGGAGCAATGCAGCAGGCTCGAACTGATTAAAGGCCACTCCCTATGGCGTCAATCACCCGTTTGGTCCCTAGACCTGAACGACTGCTATGCCAACGGCCAAGACTCACACAGGTTGGAGTACAAGCCATAGTATGTATCTTACTCTATGCCGTGTCTGTCTAATCGCATGTAGCTAATCATTCCTAGCGGCAACGCGTTTGACAAAGATTGCCGGCATTGCACCATATCTCAGCACGACTACATAATAAGCTGTGAGTGCAGGCATGGAGACCAAGAGGCTCGAATGAAAGTGGCACATCTCAGTGAGTATTCTCCATCCCTATGTCCTGATATACAACCTAATCTTGTCTTAGACGAGGTTATACGATATGAGAGCGGTAGCATGGCTTGTCTCCCGCCGAGTTCGTTTCGGACGACGCTCGGGGTGTCATCGTCGTCGTCGTCGGATACTCGTACCGATGGCGCAACGACAACATTAAGAATGAGATCACCGAGGGCGCCAGAAACAGAAGCGAGCTCGAGATCAACTGCCATGACAACTACGACAGCGATCGCGGAATCAGGCCGCAAGTTACGGGGTGGAATAGAAGGACTGGCCTCAGCAGCTGCATCAGTTTGGGCAGACACACCAGGACTTTTTCCAGATGACGTGGCGTCGTTGCTACAAGGACCATTTAGTTCAAGCTGCAAAGATATTCAACTCCACGACAAGTCGTTCTTGAAAGCAACTTGCACAAAAGGAACGGGAAGAGAAATGTTAGAGAGCAAGCTGGACCTGAATGAATGTTTCAAAATAGCTCCATACGCCGAAATGGAGCCATCCTCTAGGTATGGCAGCTGTTGATAAAGACCCTCATTTAAGCCTTTGTTTGAGCCCTTGACCTAACTGATACAGGGGAGCCGCCTTCGACTGTTGTAGCGAATGTCACTTGACAAATGTCACCTTTGTCACATGTGACGGGTGTAGAGACGGGTGGCATCATGTTAGCTCTCTAAGAAAAACCGCGGACCTGGGTAAGTACTGGCCTTGTTATGAATGAATACAATGAAACCCGCTCTGATAAGACCATAGCCAAGATTGTAATTATCCGCAACGGGGTGTTGGGCTGTTTCGAGCACTCTGGTAGTGTAGAACCTCTCTAGACAGGCAAACGCAGTGGATCTCCGCATGCTGCCATGGTAATTGCACCAGTGTAGTCACAAGAAGCTATTGATACTAAAGAAATGATCATTGCTCGAAGAGATTGTATTCTGGATCGGTAGGAGATGCTGTGTTCCTCAGGGAGTTCGAATGTGGAATATGGAGTGTCATATCATAGCAGCTTATAACCAATAGCGATCTGTTAAGCAGAAAAGCAGTTATCTCAGAATGCTCTGAGGATTCAACCACATTTACAATTCAAAGTCTTCTCAGACTTTTCTTCAATTTTAGACAAGACCATCCGAGACAAGATCTCTTTGTATCTCCTGAACCACACTGTCACATCCTCGAAGGGATATCATGTCTCAGAAATTGGACCACCGTCACAACTTCAAAAAAAGCAGCTTTGTATTCGAGACATTGATAAAGAACACTGTAAATACCTTCAAACACTCATCACAAAAGTCTTAGGTACCATCGCGGTAAATGAGCCGAGGACAGAGATAAATAGCCCGACCTGGACCCTTCCACTATATGTATATACCCATCATCGATAGGAAATATCCTATTTACTACGCTTGCTGCCTAAATACTCACCAAACAAACACCTGCAATGCTCCTCTGCATCCTTCTCCTCATCTCGACAATTGTTTTAATCCCAAGCTTGAGGCAAACTCTACTGGGTTATTCCTAAATGTATCTTGTGAGTTCCTTAGCGATGGCAAAATACACACTAAAACAACTGCTCTGGACCTGAACAAATGCTACGCCATCGAGGAAGGTTCAGAGAACCTAGAACTGGTGACCAAGCATCTATATCCCCCTCCCGGGCTCCTTGCAACACATCCATGGATATGACGGCTAACCCCGACTAGTGGAAATGCATTTAAAAAGGGATGCGAACATTCCGAGCTGGATGGATGGCGCCTGCAGTGTATGTATAAAAATAATAATAATAAAAAAAAAAAACGCTCAAGTGAGTAAGTATCACTAGTACTAGTATATTGACTGTATCTGTCTAACTGCCCCACAGATAATGGCGTCCGAATTAACGGGGGTGAGCTGAAATGTGGCCCACCTGATCCTACAACGTCTCAAGGAGGATCGATGTCTCTTATGAATACCGAGGTCCCGAAAGAAACTACTTCTACTGCGTCGTCGGTGACTACTACTGGAACTACGACTAGTAAGATCCCGACCTCAATCTCGACTGCGGTATCGACTAAGAGGGGTGGCAGTACATAGAGGGTACCTGGTGATTTTGTTGCCAGTCTTGGCGGGGACACTGTCATTGTCATTCATGTGGTAGTTGACTGGGAGAACGGGCATAGATTAAGACTGGAGAGCTAGTTAGCAAGCGACGACGCGCCATGATTGATCGAGATCGCAATTGACACAAGCCTCGAAGAAAACTCCCTAATATTCCTCATCCAGAGTGAATTGAAAGTTATATGTTCAGTCATCTATAAAGACCCGAGCCAGGGCGATAGAAGCCCTACTAGATAGAAGATCAGCTCTAGCCGATACGTAGTGAGATCTCGCACTCCATGCACAGCAAATGTTAGGATTCAACCACGGGTAGCCTCCAAAACCTCCGCAAATCTTCCTTCAACTTCAAACAAGGCCACCCGAGATGTAATTCTGCGGCGGATAACAAATCCAAGAGAACCTTTGTTTCCCTCGGGTCATGGAATAGTTCGCCGCATAACCCAATCGCCAAGCCTGCAATAGATCGGGTAGTATGGAACTCAGGATTTGTGAGAGCAACCCCACATATGACTCGAACGCACTCCCGTATCTTGTCATCATTATCTTGCATACGACGCAATCGCCCAATTCGAAGTGCTGTGGCATCTGGATCAGACGCCAAGAGGAGGATGCGGCATAGTTCCAAATACAGACGGGCCGCGACGTGACAGTCGTTACAATACCAGATCTTAGGGAAGCAACTAGATGGTGGATTCTTCGTTTCGCTATAAATCGGCATGAAGGAATTCGGCCTGCTGTCTTCCCAGCCCTGGACGTACTGCATAAGATCGTTCCAGCGATCCTTGGTCCTGAACATGACGTCCCCATACACAAAGTCGGTTATCTTGGCCGCGTGGGCGATGATCCGGTACGTCCACATTGATTCAGAAGTCGGACCCAGTGACGTGTCGATATTGCAGTGATCAGTGAAAGACCCCACCGGCCGTTGTGTCAAGTTAGCGACGAAGATCTCTTGTCGCAAGACCACGATCAAGGCTGCATCTGTGAAGCTTGATGTGCAGATATTTCCTTCTTTGATTCGAACAAGGATATGGGCAGATAGGGTGTGGGAGTCTACGACTTCCCTGGGAGAAGGCTCTGCATGTGACGACTTAATATATGTTCTTTGGTAAGTGCAGGATTTCAGAACAAGGTTCCACACACCTGTCATTTCTTCAGAGAGACGAAGAATTACTGCCGATGCAAAAAGTGACTCATCTAATGTCTTCTGAGAGTCATCAAGGGCGGATATCAATGATTCAAGACAGTATTGTTGGTATTCATCCGCAATAGATTGCTCGCGCTCTGAATGCGATCGCTGATGTCTAGCAGCCACTGTTAGGACGGCATACAAAAGGATAGGATTACTAGACGCAGAGCTGGCGATGTATGTATAAAAATGCCGCTTCGGGTCGCAGTAGTCAAACTACGTAAAGTCGCAAAGAGCACGGTTAGCCATGCTCTAAAGTTACGATGAAGTCAGGGAATACCTACCCAAGGAGAGAGGGACGTCATGAAGTATTTGAAAAGAGACGCCTCATATTCACTTTTTAAGGGCGAAAGGAGAGATTGTGACCCGACGGGGTATGATGTCGGTACCTGTGAAGGAGAATATTGGAACGACTGCTGATAGTCGCTATGTTCCGCTGGCCTGCTGTTGGATTGACCATTGTTGTCAAAGTCTGCATTGTTCTCGCTAATAAAAGTAATGTTGCTTGCCGGAAGGCTAGGCTGGATTTGATGATCCCCCGAATCGTTCTCTGCAGAGGTGTACTCAACAAAGCGGAACATGCTATCCTTGCAGCTTGTGCATGGCTCATTTGCCCGCCGGCAACCATGGCAAGAATTGCCACCTGAGCCTCCTTTGCCTTTATCGTGTTAGCCGTCGTGACTTGAGTCACTATATACGGTAGCTTACATCGTATATGACGAGTCCGACACCGGTCACTCAGGATTTATCAGTATAGTTTCCACGGCCTGAAATCTGTATGTTGTGGAATAGTTGAGTGGGAAATCTACACACCAAGCTTTATGACGCCCCAAACGGGTTCTACTGGTGGATTGAACTGGCGAACGATTGTTACCACTCATAGAAGACCAGCTAACGTCATGGAATAAGTGCCACGCAGTGGAAAAGATGGATGGAAACTGATAAGCGTTTTGATAATGAGTGGGGAACCTTCGGAAAGAGATATACTAGTACAGGGTCATGTGATGGGTCTGAAACCACCCAGAATATAGAGCTAAACATTACTACCTTCAAATTGCAATTGAGGGTAGTTATAGAATATCACGATACCTCTAAATGAGTAGTAAACAATGTACGTCACCGCTATATAAAGGTTCAGCCAATATAAATTCCCATACTGATAGCTTCTGGCCTTAAACCAGTAGATTCCTGCAGTTTACTTTCGTGAGACTACGTATATTCTTCGCTGATACAATTTACGGAGGGTCCTGAAGCAAGTGAAATATTTCTCCAAGCTCTGTTCCGTTTCTCTGAGAGTGCAATTTAAATTATTGATCATCTAACCATATCTCGATTAGATAGCGTCTTGTAATACGTGTATGCTGTTCTTTTAGCGCATTCTACTCTAAACTTATTCCAGTTAACTGCTCCATTATAAATATTATCTATAATGGTCAGTTTTATACCATTTCGTCTTTAAATCCTCTTATATTACCATCGAATCCTCTTTAACCTAGAGTCATACTGAAGTTGATCAACTGTGGTGAGTGCTTTGAAATCGATATTAATAATCATAGAAAATTATAAACCTTTCATACATGGCCAGGAAACTGTTTCTTGCCGCCTCTGATACAATCTTGAGAGGCGATTTGTCACTGCCTATTTACTGACCACTGCTATATAGCCCTTTGTTGTCGGACATGTACAAGTGGATAAACAAGAAAAACCGCCCCAAGGGCCATGCAACAAGCCGCGAAGATCTGCAAAGGTAGCCAGTCCGACTCGTCCGTCATATTACCCACCAACGCCCCCCCAATAGGCCCCCCAAACAAAACCCCCAGCCCAACGCTAGCCCAGTACATCCCCGTCCTTGCCCCCAATACCGAAAACGACGCGCAAAGCAACGGAAGCATCGCTCCGGGCATCGATACAATGATGCTGGATGTGAGGCCCCAGAAGACAGACCAGACGATGACACCCACCTTTGAACTCACTGCAACCCAGCAGAAGAGCAGACAGGCGCTGGCAGCTAGACCTGCAGTGCATGTTTCGAATGGTCCAATTCTCACTGCGAGGAGCCCGGCGAAGAGACGGCCAAAGACAGACGCCCCGTTCACGATAGAGATGAGATAGAAGGGTAGGTCTGTGTTGTGAAGGGCTAGGATGGCAGTTTCGGCGAACAAAGGGAGGTAGATTAATGGGAGATAGTAGGCGACGCCGGCAAGAAAGGCGGAGATAATGGCTAGGACGAATGGAGGCTCGGTAAGCGCTGAACGATCGAACCATTGTCGGATGGTAGTGTTCTGGACAGTCTTGTAGGGTAAAATAGCCCAGGATAAGAGATAGGTTGCGAAAACGACAAAGGCAATGCTGCGGACTGCCCAGGGGAATCCTACGCTGGACAAGAGTTGGCGGAACATGATCGGGTAGATCACGCCGCCTGTTCATTGCAACTAGAATCTGAGATTATTTTTGAAAACATGATAGCAAGGCGACATACCTATGCCAGTGGCGGACGCAATGAGCCCTATAAATTTGGCGCGGCGAAACTCTTGTAAGCTCGCGGTCGCGGCAGCAATGCTGGGAACGTAGAGCATGCCCCCGCCCAGACCAATGCAGATACCCTGAGAAAGAAAGACCTGGTAGTATTTTGTCGAAAGGCTGATCATCATTAACCCGAAAACCTCTAACAGGCTGCCTGCCACGACCAACGACCGGAAATAGCCGTAATCGAAGAGAGGGCCGGTTATGATGCCGCTAAATAACAGCAGGAAGCCGCTGACGGTTGAAATCCAGGATATCTCAGAGCTGGATCTGTCCGGGAACTGCACCTGTTCCCAATATGTTTGGAAGACTCCAAATGCAAGAAGAAGGCCCCTGCCAAGTTAGTTAGGCCATTCAGTGAGACTGACAATGAAGGGACACAATCTGCTCCATAGGAGCAACCAACCATGTGTTCAGGAATACTACAAAGGCATTCAAAACTTGCATCCACTGTTGCGTCGTCAGGGTAGGTGATGTAGCTGGTTCAGAGGGAGAGTCTGCCTCCGTCGTTAAATGACTACTCGCCTCCAAGTGTTGCTGGCTTGATATCTCCGGAGGCATGTTGTGAGACCGTGATTACGTTCTTTGTGTTCTAAGGATGATCCTTGTGGCGAGGAAAAATTCAACTAGGAGAAGAGAAAGTGATGAGAAACAAGCTCCTCCACCAAACCAGCAGCGGGGGCTTTCTGTGTAACGCCAGCATCTGTTCACACCTGTCATTCTGGATTGCTGGGGCACTGTCAACTGCGTAAATTCTTATGATGGCCTTAGAACTGCGCCCAATGCAGGACGGCATTGCTTTAATTCTTACTGCCTGCCTATTGCTGGGTTTTGTACGGAACTTATGTAGTCTATTCCTCCGAAACGGCCCTCAAACTAATGAGCAGGCTACGTTCACGATCCAGAAGCCCTTGGTCCTAAGGGGCCGAATATCCCATAGGCGCCTATTCCCGAAGAGACATCAACTCTTGTACCCGTTTCTCATGGTCGGCATCCCGATAAGACGGTGCCCGTCAAACTGGCTCCTATCGGTCGATGCGAGCACATGGTGGCGGCGAGGTTGGCTCCAAGTCAATGCTCAAGACCACCTTGGACGGCATAATACCCAGCTCAGGATCAGCGAGAAACTGGATGACTTCTTACTATCGCAAGTGTGTTTTCTGCTATCACTTTTCCATCCCTATTGACTTCTGTTCTCTCCTCCAGGGCGAAGACCCAGCCTCGTATCCTACAGCATATCTTGTCACATCTCCAAGAGTCTGGAACTACAAGTTCTGCCCGGCGTCCTTCTGGTTCCTCTACTCGAATGAATACCAACTGCGAGCGATGATTGTGGAGGTCAACAACACGTTTGGTGAACGGCGTTTATACTTCCTACCTGCAACAGACAACAGCCGAGAACCTGGGGATGATAGTTCCAGATTCCGGTATACTTGGTCAAAGGACTTTCATGTCTCTCCGTTCAACTCACGAAAAGGAAAATATTCTCTCTCTGCGCGGGACCCGAGCCAAGCGTCGACTTCAGAAAATGAAGTTATCCATATCACTGCCACGCTCCTTTCATCGAAGAGCCGTCCAAAGATGGTAACCCGGCTCTGGACAGACAAGAAACCGATTGACCCATTCTCAATTACGACATACCAGGCAATGCGTCTACTCTTTCCCTGGTGCCTGGTAGGGTTGTTCACATGTAAAGTCCCCGTTCTGTCCTATTCAGTTGACGGCCGCTCTGCCCGTCGTGACTAACAAAGCCCCGCTGCAGACCCTCGGATCGTCTTCGAGGCCATCCTCCTAGCTCATCGGCGGAAACTGCATATCTGGTATCGCCCCGAGCCTCGCACCGGTACTATTCCACGTCGAGCTACTAGTTCTGAAAGGTATGAATGCGAGCCACCCCAGAATAGAGAGCCCTGTCATAGCACATGTTCAGAACTGACATCTCCATAAAACCAAAACATAGCTATATCTCCCTTATTCTATCCGCATACATACAGCAAATCCTCCTCTCAGCCCCAGATGCATTTCATATTCATTTACAATCTCTCACCCATTCTCACAATAACTACGTCGAGTTCTCAACACCCACCGCAGGCGAAACGCCCTTATCGCCAACAATCGTGCTTACCGTTCTCACTCCACGATTCTATACGATTCTCTTAGGTCATCGCTCCCTAGCGAGCTTACTTATGAGCGCATGTCTAGATCCTGTGATAGAGAACCGTACGGCTCAAGCTTGCCTGGTCACTCCCTTTTCAATGTCTATAGATGAATCCAGGAGTAAGAAGGAGCTAATCGGATTTATATCTCGTGCCGAGAGATCCTACGAGAACAAACTTTTCCGAGGTCGGAATAGTCCAAACGCATTTCTCATTACTACGCTTCAGTACCTCCTCGACTGGGTTCTAGCTACCGTGCGTCCGCTGAGAGGGACACTTGGTGCTTTGTATCCATATCCGGGACTACCCCGGTTACGGTCAGAGGACATTCGTTCAGTGACTCTACCCAGGGAGCCGGAGGGTAGGGGTGAGGATGCAACAAGAGGAAGAGAGCTTGAGAGATACTTTTTGGATGACTTTGTGAAGAGCCATTATAGGGCTTCGCAGTGGGTTTGGTACGTCGCAGCAGTGGTTAGGGCCTTGATTTGGGAAAGAGTTGTGAGATTCGTCGGGGGTGCGTGACTTGAGGAGTAAAACAGAGCGAAGTTTCATGTCGTATATTCATTTGCGGAAGATGGAGGATATTGACGTATCCTGACTTTACCAAAATTGTGTCCTCTGCGATGATGATTCGGTTATCTATAGTAAAGTAAAATAGAGGTATATGGCACACACAATTTGACCATCCCAACATTATCAGCCTTCTTTCGCTGACTCCAAAGGAACTCCTGTTTCAGCTAGTCTTACCAACGGTCTCCACCCGCGCCTCCTCGGGACCTCTCTCGCAAAGGGTGGGTATTCCTATCTTCAGAATCCAGCCTACTATTATACCCATTGCGACCGAACTCGAACCGACCAGAACGACTGCTGTCACTACCAGTAGGGTGCTCTCCAGTCTTCGTTCTGGATGACCACTCCCTGAATCTTCTCCCTAACTGCCACAGAGCAGGGAGATTCGCAACAAAGGCAGAGATGTTCCGTTCGATAATATCGCAGATAAACTCATTCGTCAGCGCCCAAGTGCTATCTGCGCGGTCTAGGAAGTCGCGCGCGAATGCGATGTTGAGGAAACCAACTATTGTTACGCTATGACTGTTAATATATCTATACTTGTCCGGAGTTCTGGGTTATTGTACGGGAATCGATGCAAGTAATGGTTGTAACGTACATGGCTCCACAACCCATAATAGCTAGCACAGGCGCCTTCTTGCGCCATTCCAGCTGCACATTCCACAGAAAGTATGCTGGGGAAAGAGCATAGAAGATATTCGTGAAGCAACCGAGCCCTGTATCCCATTCATTCAGCAGGGTTTAACTTACTAGTCTCATCCCCAAAGCGGGCCTAAGATGAGAGCAGAAAGGAGAAGGGGAAGAGGAGCCAAGGTTACCATAAAAAACATATGTAACAACTAAGAATCTGTGCGGACTCAGCGTCGTTCCCTCAATCCTGGGATCCCACAGCTTAGCCAGTGGCCTCGCCTGCGTCGCCCACAATGCAACACCCACGAGCATTGATATCGTTGTTAGAACCATGAGCGCGTACGTTGCCCAGCGGAAGTAGCGGTGCTTTGTACCCCGGATAAGCGTAAGCAGAAAGAAGCAGACAGACAACTTGATGCTCCAGATTGCCCAGGCTGCGACGCCGACGGCGAGCTGCGCGTATTTAACGGCCTGGATGCGGGAAGGGGGTGAGAGGAAGCGGGTGTGTCGGCCAAACCCGCTAGCCGTAGCTTTATAGTCAAAAGCATTGGCAACAAGATCAAGGGCCTAGCCCCGGCGGGGAGTTTCTTGGTTATCTAAATGATGAAGTATAGGAATAAAGGCAGGCTTACTGTCCCGAGAAGGATGAGGTAGTCTTCAGGCCCTAACGCCCGACGACAAATAAGTTTGCCAACAATTCGGATACTCGTGGTGACCACTATTGCGACAGTCATGACGCTGATGGTGATGTTCAGGTCATTGGCGCGGCTAATATCTGTATTGGTATCCATTCCAGATACGGACCATTTATTTCCAATAAAAAGGTCTGACCTACAGCCCGTGATAGCTGTTGACTCCTGTTTCGACAAGTCTAGTGACAAGAGCCGCAGGGGTGAGGAGGATCTACACAAGTTTTATACTTGCAGACTACCAGAGCGTTTCCCTATCGATCCCTATAATCTCAGTTTTGCCAGAACATACCGATGACTCTGTATCTTACCTGGGTTAAGCTGGCACCTTGGACGTGTCGGTGAGTGAGCGATCTGTAAGCCCCCTTAATGTTTAACAGTTAAGGTATGGCTTGTCTAGGTTTGAGCCATATTTGAACCCTGGCAGCCCAGACTTAGATCCAGAAGTGGCCATGGTGGAGAGCTCAACAAGTTCTGCGTGACTAGTGAGGTCGACATGAAGGAGAAAAGGCGGGGTGAGATATCAATCCAACCCAGCTTGGGCTGGAATTTGCAAGACCCTGTGATACTCTAACAATTTCCCTCTGCATAATCCTGTCAGCAATAACCGGTCCAGGCTCATACTGGACATCGTAGCACGTAAGCCCGACATCGTTCAAACCTATCGCTGCATACGCATATTCTATTCGGCCATATGTCGTGCAACAAACTACCTATTCTTTTTTCCTCCCGAGTCGCATAGTATCTGATGGAGAAGGGTAATGCACGGAGAAGGTTATGTCTTCTTAGGTGGGTAAGCTGCATAAACACCACCATGACACTGAACGTATGAAAATGGCTTACCCATCCACTGCTGATATGCTGCTCCTCATGCAAACTTAAGTATCTGTCCGCCGAAGCAACGAGCGGAGAACCTAAACGTTCTGTTTTGACATTGTCACCCTTTGGGACCATAAGCCTCTTTGGTTGAACATGACTACAAGACATTCTCGCCTTCCTAAGCGGGTTGCTATTGTGGGCGGTGGAATTTCCGGTATTGCCTGTCTCTGGGGTTTGCGGGACTCCGACTACGAAGTGCACTTATATGAAGCCGAGGACCGACTTGGCGGACATGCAAACTCCGTCCCGTTTCACGGGAACGGCACCGTGAGAGACGTTGACACAGGTTTTGTAATTCTGAATGAGGAAAGCTACCGTAAGTAGACATGATAAAACCCTGTCCAGAAATCCATGCTACTACCATAATAGCCCATTTCGGCGCCTTTATCAAAGCCCATGGTGTTGACACAATTGCTACCGACATGTCCTTCAGTGTCTCGGATAGCGATGGCTTCAGGCAGTGGGGAAGTGCATCTTTCTGGGGCTTCGTGGGCTGTTTTTCGAATTTGTTCAGACCGTGGTTCTGGAGGCTGGTATTCGACATTGTGCGGTTTAATTATTTCGCAACAGATATTGTTCACGAAAAGCCGAAGTGCGGCAAATCGGATGAACTTGAGTCTATCGGAGAATATCTGACTCGACAGCAATACTCCCCGCAGTTCAAGCGATATTATCTTATCCCCATGGTGGCAGCTCCATGGTGCCTTGATCCTGAGGAGGCTGCACGTACATTCCCGGCGGAGACGCTGATTCGGTTCATGTAAGACCCCCCGTGCGACGAGAGGCATGTTATTGATCAGTACTCAGGTCAAGGCATCGCCTGCTGGACACTCTTACCCATAAGCTGCAGTGGCGCAGCTTCGGTAATGGGTCCAAAACATACATAGATGCATTTGTGAGAGGACTGCAAAAAGAACATCATCTGCATCTCGGGATAACAGTACAACGTATAACAAGAAATCCAGATTCTCGTGTGTCCATCATCACAGGCACCGGAGTTGAAGAGAGTTTCGATCATGTTGTACTGGCTGTGCATGCTGAAATTGCGCTGCAAATGCTCGGCGATGAGGTCAGCGCTGAGGAAGATGATGTCTTAGGAGCATTTGAGACTAGCAGGACAGTTTGTGTACTTCATTCGGACGAAACAGTATGTGTTTATGCCCGGTATTTGACAATTATTCTCAGCAAGTGACAGGTTCTCCCCAAGCGACCGTCGGCTCGTGTGTCCTGGAATTGTATCCTCCGAAGCCCCCATTCTTGCAGGGATGATTTTCACTCGGTCACTCGGCCACCAAGGATGACAAGCGATGGGAGTGGGTTTTCTGTAACGTACGACATGAACAGACTGCAGGCGATTCCTAGCCCTGGAGAAGAGGGGAGCCCAGGCCGGGTGCTGGTGACTATGAACCCAATGACCGCCCCCTGTCAAGCTCGCAGCTGGCATCTGTATCATCATCCCAAAATTACCTCAAAGAGTGTTCAGGCTCTCAAGCGTCTTCATTTGTTGAAGTCCGGCGGTAATGTCAGTTTTGCTGGGGCGTGGATGGGGTATGGGTTTCACGAGGATGGCTTTGTCGCTGGCTTGCAGGTGGCGAAGGAGATAATTGGAGGAGATCGTGACCCCTTGGCTGACGCTAGGACAACTGAGGAGGAATGGAGGCCGACTTGGATCCTTTATCTAGTACGGGGGATTGTTAGGGTCGTGCAAGGGCTGATAGCCTGGAGAGAGAATGGAATTGCCTTGGTTGGCCGCGCGGGGTCGTTAAAGTAACACAAAAAGGCGAAACTTGTTCTTTGTTCCTCAGCCTTACTGTCTTTTGCAATGAGGTACTTGATCTCGATCAGTCTTTTGAAATATTTGAGTACGACGACTAGCAGAACCCCAGGCATATTCCAGAATGGCTTCAATCGATGACCAAAAGAAGCTTGTCAAACGTATCTGCCAGAAATACCAAAATTCACCATGGCTGCCCCTCTCTCAGCTCCAGAAAGCTACTTCGCTCGATACCCCAGCACGTGGAGGAATCTGGATCTCAAGAACTACCTTTTCAGCACCTTCTAACCCGGCTATCAGAAACGCCCTGTTCTCAGTTATCCACCGTTTGAAGAAGGAGTACCACCACATCTCGCCGGAAGAAGAAACTCCAATCGCCGACGTGGGCGTTGAATTCATCGGCCCTCGCTCTCAAGTTCCAGATGATGCCCCTGAGCCGGATATTCCAGAGGAAGACAAGCTTCGTGCCCTGCTGCAGGAATGCGATAGCAGACTGACCATCCTCTATGCTCATGGTGGTGGTCTTTAGTATGCCATGATATCTTGCCTCACGCAAAGACAGCATCCGCTAATATATCTCCCAGCTTCAGTGGCCCAGCACAGTATCGTGCTTCCTCCGTTCGCCTGGCAAGGTTAACCGGTGCGCGTGTCGCCTCCATTAAATACCGCCTTGCGCCATCCCATACCTTCCCCGCCCCGATTCTGGACATTCTCATCGCATATGCAAGTCTACTGTACCCTCCACCCGGGGCTCCTTACCCAGCCGTCCCCGCGAACCAGATCGTATTGGCTGGGAATAGCGCCGGGGCGAATCTAACACTCGGCCTCATGAAATTCCTCCTCGAAATGCAGAAACTCCCTCCCTTGGACGCAACATTTGATTTCCATGGACAGTCCGTGAATCTACCTCTTCCTGCTGGTCTTGCGATCGTAAGCGGTTGGTGTGATCAGTGTGATTCACTGCCATCCTGGCACTGTAAAGGCGAGATCGACATCCTGAACGTGCTTCAGCCCGCATGTATGCCCGGCTACCCCACCGATAGCATTTGGCCTGCGAGTCCGCCACGCGAAGTCCCCTATTGCGTGGCTGCTTTGCTCGACCATGAACTTGTCAGTCCCGCAGCCGTGGAAGATTGGACGGGCACACCGCCGATGTGGTTCGCGTGTGGCTGTGAGGAGCGCGGAGTGGATGGGAACCGGGTGGTGGCAAGTCAGGCAGCGAAGTCTGGTGTCTCAGTGGTCTGGAATGAGTATGAGGGGATGCCGCATGAGTTTCCGATCTTCCTTGGTGCCTTGCCGCAAACCAAGCATCTTCTTCAACTCTGGGCTGCGGCCTGTCAGTCCTTTACAAGGGGCAAAATTGGGGCGGCAGCGCCGAAGTTGATAGCTGTGAGGTGGTTAATGCCAGATTGTAAACGGGTAGAGTTGGGTAATCCAGTCGATATTGCTCCGTTGCCGTTTGCGGAGGTGAGAAAGAAGATGAAGGCGTATAATGCTACGCGACCCGTTTGGACTGGGAGATTACACGAACATAAATTGTGAAACTATACCTAGATATCCCGTGCTTCTTCCTACAAGTCCAATACATATCCGAAATAAGATTACGAATCAAGATTCAACACCTATTAAGCCTCAGTATCCCGTCCGTCTAAATTACAAGATCTCTGCCCCCACGACTCCTAGCACAGTCCTTCCCCTCCTTCAGTGCCATCGCCTTCTTCAACTCCCACTCCCAAGCCGTCATTCCCCCACCCCCAGTCCCAACTGCTACCACACCCTCTTCGCCGTCACTCTCAACACTCGGAATATAGCCCCCCACCAACCTCTCCATCCTAGCCTCCTTGCACGGCCTCACCAACATCGCAAAACTGACTCTATCCAACCCCGCCTGCTCCCCAGGCGCACACAACACCCGATGCATATTGGACCTCAACACACCCCCAGTCCACTCAACCATCGCATCCCCCATATTCACAATCAAACATCCCGGCTCCGGCCGGACCCATTCCCAATCCCCAGCTCGATTGAGAACCTGTAGCCCGCCCAAAACATTCACCAGGAGCGTGATACTTCCAAAGTCCGTATGTGCCAGTAGTCCCGTCTGCATTTGATCCTCTTCATCTTGAGTGCCCGGTGCATACCGCATAAGCCGGAGAATCGTCCCCGATTCCTGTGCTGGATCGTGGAACTGAGTGAATGCGTCGTCAGGGAGACGGAGCTGCGTCGCTAGGGCGTGGAAAATGTGTTCGATCACGCTGCGGCCGTAGAACAAATAGGCTTTGAATAACCCCCGTTGCGTGCTGAGACAGGAGGGCATCGGCTGTTCCGGGGCAGTGGTCCCGAGGATGTCGTCTTGGGAGATGGTCCAGAACTCGCAGCGGTCGGGGGCCCCTGATTCGGTTTTCATGACGCCGAGGCCTTTGTAGCTGGTATTGGGTGTTTGTTAGAGTGATGAATAACAAGAAGAAGGGGGAAAATAAGGGGGTAGAGAGATGGCGGAGACTGGAGGGAGGGGACTGACCCTAGAAAGCTTCTCGGGGCGTCTTGTGTGTATTTCATCTTTTCTTCTAGTGGGAGTTGCATGGTCTCATGAATGGTGGGGAAGATGGAGTCGACAAGTGGCATCATGGCTTCGCCCAGTGGGGAGTTGGATAGATCGAGGTGGAAGAAGCCCGATGTGCGGCATGCTGTGAGGACATCCTGAGCGGCGTCTGGGTCGCCAGATATGAGGCTAGATAGAGAGATTTTGAGGAGTTTGGCAACAGGAATGGTACTTGGGAATGGGGGAATTGATTCAAATAGCTTGATGGAGGCCATTTCTTTGGTTTTCCTTGGGTTGATCTGGTGCAGTTATGCTGGAGAAGGGGTAGGGAGCTTTGAAGGCCCCTCCACGCTATGTATATGCAGTTTCAAAATCTAGCCTGAACCTGGCTTACTGTTACACAGAGGAGGTTCTAGATTTGTTGAATTTTAACTATGTATGTCAGGAGACCATTGTAGGGTCACTGCGGGGTTGGCCTTTTCACTGTTCTTTACTACCGTTATTTCTAATAGAGAATTTGCGTCAATATGCCGTAGCAGAACTTCGTGCCCGCCCGGGTGATCCAAGGCACGGAGTAGTGATCTCGATCTAGACTAATGTGTATAACCGTAAATTAGCTTAATTTCCACAGAAGAGCTTGACTTCGATAATTGATTATCTTGATTCTAACTACGGATACTTTGTTACACTCTACAAAATCTCCAAAAGCTATCAAGGATGACTGAGGCCTTTCGTTACCTGCCGAACAACTAGGCGTCTATACAAACCTTACAAAAGGTGCAGCAATCTAGTGGCTGAAGTTCTATACAAAGAAATCATGGTGTTTAGACTGATAGGTCGGAGAATTTGACTTTTCTAATATTTCTGAATCTTCTCAGAGTTCGGGGGATTCGGAGGCATTCTTATTTGAGGGCAGGTAGGGGGGCCATACCGCGACACGCAAGCGGATGACGGGGTGTGTGCAACAAGACCAGCGGTAGCTCAAGAAAAGAGTTTAGTGATGTTTCCGGTCTCTGTGCGGGGAGTATTTCCACCAGAAATATCAGTAGGCAGTAACTTGAAGACAACAAGTTGTCTCATTGAGTCACTACTGGCACTTGAAGGTATGGTGTACAGGCCACCGAGTCGTAAGAGGAAGAGTAGCAGCTGATAGCACAAGTACAATCCCGGTCAAACGTCTACATTAACTAGCCCATTTTCGTCCTGCACTAATTCATTATATCTCTTTTACTTTACTGTTATTATCAACCACAAGATAGTTCTCCCTTCACTGTAGTATTTTCTCACCATAAAGAGGGGTATGTCACCTGTCCACTTCAAGAGGTCAAGCATAAGATGCATCGCGTTACGAACGCACTAAGGCACCAACAACCTACCGAACATCCATATAATGCATTTTTAGCAAAATGACTTTCCTCCGAGGAATTGCGATTCGGCACGGATTCCCTCAGTTCCGAAAGTCTTCGCTGGATCTTCCGGCAAGAGTTAATGCCGGTATTTAGGTTGTCTATGGCTTATCGTTTCTAGATTAGGATGTCTATGAAGCTCCCGTCAACGTACTGCACAGTAGCGTGAATCAGCGGTCCTAACTCGTAGTTAAGGTCTTTTAAGTGGGTCAGGCTCCAGGGGTTTTGAAACCAACATGCTTAAGGCCGCTGACATAAGCGCATGTACACTATTCCTGTGGAGAACACCCCATGATGGATGAGGTATGATACATGTCCGTGGACGAATATTTAAATCTCCGCAGCCGTTAAGCAATCATGGACACTGGAATAGGTATATCTCGTATCACACTCAGCTCCAGAACATTTCATCCTGATAGATTGGCTCCATGGCGGAGTTCAAGATTATTATCGCCGGTGGAGGCATTGCCGGCCTCACCTTGGCCAACATGCTAGAGAAGTTTGATATCGATTATGTTCTATTTGAAAAGCACTCAGAAATTGCGCCACCAGTCGGTGCTAGTATCGGTTTGTTTCCCAATGGTCTGCGCATACTAGATCAACTTGGATGTTACGAGCGAATCACAAACCTGTCCATCCAGCAACTCAAAGTGGGATATATGCGGGATAAAAAAGGTGACATACTCTGCGGCATGCATCACATGTTCCAGCACCTGGAGAGGCGGTATGTTGAGCCATATTCAGCCGATGGGTCACGTTTCTCTCTAATGCAGACACAGACATGGGTATGGCCTGCTGTTCTTTGATCGGCAGCAACTTCTAGAGATTCTACACGAAACCATCAAGTACAAAGATAGAGTATTGCTCAACAAAAGAGTGAGCAGTATAGATTTCATTGATGGGGGTGTCAACGTCACGACCACAGATGGCTCGGCCTTCACTGGTACGCTCGTTGTGGGCGCAGACGGCATCCACAGCAGCGTGCGATCTCTTATGAGAGGCTTAGGTGACAAGCTGCAGCCAGGATATTTCCCCTCTACAGAGGAGGATAGCGTTCCATGCTACTACCGTTGCAGCTTCGGCATAGCTCAGCATGTTCCTGGATGGGTCGCAGGAGAGCAAAATATTGTGATGGGCGAGGGCCAGTCGCAGCTTGTTGTGTCGGGGCCAGATGACCGGGTGTATTGGTTTTTGTTTGATAGGCTGCCACAAGCCAAGTATGGGAAGGATATACCCAAGTATACCAAGGAAGACGAAGCTGAATTCGTCAAGCAAAATTACAATCTTCCCATCACAAGAAAGGTCACCTTCGGCCACGTCTTTGACAAGCGGCTATCGTCGACATTGACACCTCTGCACGAGATTGTTTACCAAAAGTGGTTTTTCAAGAGGATCATTACTTTTGGAGACTCGGCGCACAAGGTAAGTATAATGAGTTTCGTATACTCCGATCAACTGCTGCACTTGCCCCATACAGATGGCTGACAATTTTTCTTCGTCTATATTGTAGCCAAATCCTATTGGCGGCCAAGGTGCGAACGGAGCAATGGAATCCTGCGCCGAGTTTCTCAATTCTATCTTACGAAAGAAACAAAGCCACGGCGGTAGCTTGGCTAATCTGTCCGACCAAGACATAGAGGACATTCTGCGCGAAACACAGACTAACAGATATGATCGTGCTCAGTCGATCGTCCGCAAGGCCCATGACATGCAAGCACTTAATGCTTACGAGAACCCGCTTGTCTCTACCATAGCAAACAGCCTTATCCTGCCCTTTGTAGGGGATGAGTTTGTCCTCAGCCAGATGGGACAGGCTTTCGCCGGTGCCGCCACCGTAGAGAAACTCCAGGTCCCACATCGGTCAAGGGTCATTCCTTTCAATGATGAGCTACCCGCTAAACCCATTGACCAAAATATGTCTAGGCTCATCCGTTGGGGCTTCATAGGGAGCATGGGGCTCGTTCTTTTTGTCACAACCAAAGCTTTCCGACTACCCTTTCCGAGTCTCGGCGGCTGGGGAGAATCTGGTTCGATTCTCATCTCCTGGCTAGGTGATAGCGCCGGACAGAAATTTTTGAACAAGCTGGTGTCAGTTTTATCTTTCCCCATCCTGGACAAGGACCCCTCGGCGAGGCTGCACCTTATCAATTTTCTACCTCAGCTTATCTCGCCGCTCCTGATATATACCATCGAGGGTTACCGCCTGGGGAACCAGGGATCGCTCTTAGCTCTGCCAACCATCTTCACTGCGGGTATGCAAGTCCAGGGTATTGGACGAATGGCTCCACTATACGCTATTATGAGCTCCCTCTATACACACGAGAGCATTCCAGGCCGTGCAGTCCCCAGAGAGGTAGCCAAATCCCTAATCCCAGCGGTCACCTTGGGCTTCGTACTGCCGACCATTATGGTCTTCGCGTCAACCTCTAATCTCAAAGCCTGGCAGCACTGGGTTGCGCTCTGGCAATTCGCACCGCCCTTGGTTAACGTCATAACAGCGGTCCTCTCAGCAGGCTTCAAGAGGTGGCAACTCAGTCGTGGCATCCCACAAGAGGAGGGAGAGGCATTCGAGCACTACAAGGCACATGATGTGCCGGTCCTCAAGCAAGTGTACACATATGCAATTGCAGTGCAGTCAACAGTACACATTGCCACAATGGCATACGCGTGGTCCCATCCCAATATCTCCATCGGGACGGCCTTTTTTGGTTTGCCAAATCCCTTCCGGGCTGAGTGGAACATCTCGACCATTTCAGAGCAGATAGCTATATTTTTCCGGTACGACGCTGTGACAGCCTTGGCGGGTTATGTTGGTGGCAACCTGTACTCGATCTGGGACCTCCGTCGCCTTGGATACATTCAGACGCGTACTGCGGTCAAAGCCGCCTTTGCGGTTATAGCGGGCCAGTTCATGATCGGCCCAGGTGCTACCTGGGCTGCCTTGTGGTCCTGGAGAGAGGATGCTATTGCTGGCCTAGCGAAGTAATCGAACATCTGTGATATACGGGGGTTCAGAATTTAACTCGGGTGGACGATCCTCCTTCCGAGATCTGTGGATAGATCTTTATATGTCATTATAAACTAGATATAGCTTCTTTATACACCGCGTTCGTAACCATATGATAGTAGTCTCAGGTAGTCCCTGTTATTTAAGATAATAATGAAGGATATGTTCGATGAAGGAGAGCAGCTCCCAACTCGTAGCCAAAGTCAGGCAGTCGCTTTCCGAATCGCACTTCGCGCAAGGCGTTGTACTTCTACACTGAGGCCCTCCACGAACTGGACCTGCATCTTGAAAGAAATAGGAGCCTGCGGCCATAGCTGTGCCAACATCCGTTTCCGAGCCATGTCCATCAGTTCTAGGCTGGCATGACTGGCCACATCACGAGGGTTAAGGAGGATGTCACAGAAAAGGTGAATTATCGCAGCGGTGACATAAGGAAGGCAGAAACTAGAAAGAGAGATGGTAAGCGGCGTTTCTGGATCATCATAATCTATATCAACTGGAGTGTAGACTGACAGTAGGTTATAGCGGTGAAGGTGAAGCTCAGAATGTGACACTATGTTTAACAGTGATCGACTTGCCTCCACACTCATGGCTAGACTGGAGCCAGGGCCACGTGTGTCTTGGGTCCATGATATGCAGCGACCACTCGCTTGATGGATAGTTGCCATGCAATAATGATATTGCAGCTGAAAAACAGCTGATGGTATGTCTTCACCACCTGTCGGTCGATGTGTTAGGGATGGTCGTGCATCCATGGGAATTGAGAGCTTCCAGTCTTCCAAAAGCTGATCAAGATCACGAATGGTGGATAAGAGTTCAGAGTCCGTTTTGTTTCGAGCTATGACAGAGTAGAGTCTGCGATAGATCTGCGATTGGATGATTGCCATGCGCGCGAATGGGGTGAAGAAAGGCGATAGCCCAGTGTCTCGAGCACCTGTAGTTGTGGCTTCACAAAGTGTGAGATCACAGTTTGCGTCGTCAAGACTAGGAGGAAGGCCTGTTCGCAGGCTGTACTCCTGATTAAAAATGTAGCAGAGCCAGAACAGATTCCGAATATGTAATTGCAGGTCTAAAGATCTGCTACCGACCTCATCAACACTTTTAGGGAATATATGGCCCCCAAGATGGAAGACAAATCGGGTTGCAGCCGAGAATAATAGTTCTACACTCAGCTGGTCACCGAGAACAGATTGACTGTAGAGGCACTGTAGTGATTCAGATTCGAAGTACTCCTCTACCATGGAAAGAGTAAGACTTACCAACATAAGTAACGCCTGTAACCCTTCTGTTGTTACAGTGTCTCGAAAGAATTCCGGTACTAGATCATAAGCAGCGTAGGCATAATGATCGGAGTCAAGAGACCCATGACTATCTGTAGAATTCGAGAACGTAGAAGTCACTGCCATGAATGCAAAGACACATGCTTTGGCACTATCATTGCTGCAAGTTAAGGTAGATTGCTCCTGATAAGCCGCACGAACTGTGTCCTCAAAAAGGTGCGGGTTAATGAACGGGAATATTTCACAAAAGACAGATGATTTGTACTCTTGGAGGCGTTCAAAAAGAAGACTTTTGCTCGGCAAGTATACGGTGCGAGTCGCCTTGGGGCGAAGCGATGAGATCCGTTTCGGGGGCTGATATTGGTTCAGATCCACGTCTTCCCCTGTCTGTGCCTTGATCCACTGTCGACCCCCTGAGGAAAAAAATGGCAAGCCATTGAACACGCAGATGTTTCTCAAGGCCAGTCCCGGAAAGTGCAGATTAGGATCAGGAGTCTTTATTCGTGTAACCTCCGAATTCCATGCGAAATCTAGGTTCATTTCATGATTCTTAGAGAATGGAATGCAACCAATTGCGTACGTATCTTGATAGTTCATTGACCCAACATACCTGGAGTGCTATTAAGACCGCTTTCGGGTGACGGAGCAATACGGCTAGCTAGGCGTCAAACAATAACAGTCAATAGGCAGGTGCTAAGCATTATCTTACTCTGAAATGCGGTGCTGCTGTTGCCTCAGCCGAGCTCCATTACGAGTATATAGACAGGGAAGGCTGTGGTGATAACACCAATTACACTTGGGGGTTGCTCGGTCGCATTGAATCTTCAAGTTCCAAGTATTTAATACCGACGTGAGTATTGTACTAATGGTGCGTAGATATGACCAAAATAGTGGATAATAAGTACCTTTCTCTTGGAACAAGAGTCGCAAGCAAGAAACTTGCGGCGTCGACGGATAACCCGGTTGGCAGACTTGCCAGTGGGCTCGCGGTCTGACATCGGAGCAGGCAGCACTCAGGGGAGATAGAGACTAGGTAGAGTCACTGGTAGCACAATGAGTTCCAACTCAGAAAACAAATCCCCTTGAGCTGTCCAAGTAACTGGAGGGTATGAGAAGTGCCCGAAGTTCCGAACCAATGCTACCGGATCGCCATTCATTAGCGACAAGCGAGGCGGCCCGCTCACGTGGTTTGTGTACGTCCTAATAGATAAATTGAAGCCATTCAACAACCAAGTATACTTCCCAAACTACCCAAAAATTTGAATGATTCAAGTACGACCGAAGCAATTGGCTTTTAACACTTTTTTCTCTAAAAAGGTAGAAACTCTGTCGTATTCAACAGGCTGCTTAGAATGTATAGTAACATACATTGTAATTTTTTCTATCTAGTTATACAATCAATAGAAGGGAAATTTGAAGTTGGTGTTCAAATGATCGTCTGTTGCATGTTCTACACTTACATCAGGGACAATTGATTGAAATCTTAGGCTTTTTTTTTTTTTTTTTTTTTTTTTTTTTTTTTTTTTTTTTTTTTTTTTTTTTTTTTTTTTTTTTTTTTTTTGAATTTCTAGTTACTAAGTCTAAGTTTGGTGGGCGGAGCTGTCGTATATATTCCCATGGAATAACCACCTTTGCCTTCAAGTTGTTCTCTAGGAAGACGCCTATGCGCTGAGTATTTTAACTCGCTGTGTTTGTACTCCTGGTGAAATAGAAGAATGCCATGTGGCTCTGAGCACAATGAACAGCATCAGTCATGTGTTGGTGATAAATTGGAAGAGCTTGATCAACTTGCCCTAGTATTTTCTTGATTGATTAGCAAGAGCATGATCTCAATCTTCTGTAGTGTAGTCCCTTCAAATTGCATCTTGTCGAGGCCATGATAACTCCTAGATGGGTATTTCCAAGATACCGTATAGATAAATTTCTAAAAAAAATTATATCTAGACTCAGTTCTAACTGAGGATCCAGGAGGCATATTCTTAATCCTTAAAAACAAGAGTTAGGTTAAGGGTCGGGTCGGGTTACTGACCAACATAACCCAACACAGATTGACCCTCTCGAAGAGAAGAGTGAAATCACCTATATCGCTGTGTCTTAATTATTCTGGGGGAACGCGTCAACCCGTCAATGTATCTACTAGCTCGTATATCAGTATGTTGCTAGCTGATATATAGCGACCTGACCCCCTAGAATCCTGCTAATATAATCTACAGCCGCAGAATAAGGCCCCTATATCCTTCTGTCAGACCTACATAGTATTGAGTAGTCTATGCTCTATAGGATCAGAAAACTACAGCTATTTAACCTATGTTATGGGCTTTTGAATTCTAATTTTATAATACACATCTCCTGGAAGAGACTATTTTAGGACATCACCTCTTATTAATATACCTGTAAAGGTCTACCTGTCTGTCCGGATACTTTCTTATATATCTCCACTGCTGATTCTATTTTAATATGCAACATTTGTCTTCAGTGGTACTGCCACTGTTGAGATCCCATTGATGCCCCGAGAAAATATCAAGTCCATGTATGGCTCAATCATAGAAGCAGATCTAAGATATTAGAGCTTCAGACATCACATGTCAATACATTTTTGCCTGGTGTATGTGATATTTACCATAAGGTTAGTAATTGAATATCATCTCCTATGAAAGAGTTAAACTAGAGTGGCATATAGCTAGTTTGGAATAGGCCAATACGGTCAGCTATATCCAACTGCTACCTAATACTATCACTATCCAACTCGGAGATTGTAACTTCGAAATATGTCTGCTACCCACTGATCATCTGATGAAAACAATTGTAAAAACTCCCCAACCACAGCCACATTAAAGCGGAGAGTAGCCTTTAATGTCTTTAAGCCTCCTACTATCTTTTGCCCGGTCTCATTCATCCAGGAACATGCAGGCACAGACTACATAGAATGTGAACCAGCTCGCACAGTTGATATTTAATCAATAGCAATAAGTTCTGCTGATAGTATAATAATCTCGTCATGTTAAAGGTCTAGCAGACGTTATTGATGCTGGTGTTTGGTAGAGCGAAGCTTGTACCTTTCTGTGAATCAATATGTTTTTCCCCATCCAAGTCAATATTCATATGCAGTACCACTCTAGGAACACGCGACTATATTAAATAGCATATATGAAACATGATGAAGGAAGCTTGAAGTAAATATGCATGCTGGGAGGTGAGGGCTTAATCTCGGCTATGCTGGATTTATTTCATGGTACTCTAACAGCCCCTCATTGCAAGACTTAAAACTAATTAAAATGAAGCTCGGGAGCCTGGGGTACAAAATACAGAAGTTGAAAAAGAGACATTGACGATTCAACACAGCCCCAATACTACTACAAGATTTCTTCCATCAATCAGAACTATCAACAACAATAGCCAAGCCACATGTCCGTGAATCCCAGCACCCAAACTGTCATTTCCGCTCCAGGGTCAAACTGTCACGACTCCAAATAAAGTTCATCCAAAACAGAACTGCAATAATCTTTGTAATACTCTCCTCCTTTCCACCCTCGCGCTGCAGATCGGAGTCCTACTGTCTTCCACCCTTCAGCACGTAGTCGATCAATTCTCTCCTGCTTAGTCTCTTTGCCCGGGGACCGTTTCGGACCGTCGACCTTCTCCCAGCATCCATCACCACCTTGGACAGGGCTGAAACTCCAGAATGAAGCCGATCGCTTGATAGTCTTGGCCATCTTGCGGGTATGCTGCTTCTCTTCGACTTCGTCAATAAGCACATGAATTGAGTTAATGCTCGAGTCGATTTGAGCCCGCAAGGATCGTATACTACTGTTGTAGCGCCTGATTGAATCACTGTACTGTGATGTCGCAGGTACAGTCTTTCTTTCGCTCAAATCGATGAGTAAGTCATCTGTGCATAGTCGGGAATCTCTGTTGTTTAATGGTGAATCCACAGTTCTCTTGTGTTTTCCTGTGACTGCACAAGGCACAATCTTGATAGGCAGTGGAGGAGGTAGACGAGCTCGATCTGATCTCTCACCGCGAAATGCAGTGTGGCCTGATTCACAGAGGACTGCCTTGAGTGGAAGAATCTCATCGGAAGACTTCCTAAGTGTCAATGGACGAGGAACAATCAGATGGCTTGCTATGTCATAGGCAGCAGTGGCCATAGTGCCAATGTCCGTACCCGGACAGGAATCACTGTCTGATATAAACGGGTCCTCTTCTTTCCATTGAATGGTTTTGTCGATGATATCTGTGATGCTGCTGACAAGGCTACATATAGTTGAGGGACTGTCTGAAAATTCAGAAGGGGAAGAGATTTCTCCTGGGGAAGGGAAGTTCGACTCCTCCGAAGGGCGGCTCGAGACCGGTATAGGAGAGGGCAGAACGGTGCTACAGATATCAAACCGATCTAACGCGCCTTGCAGCAGTGGGATCTTGGTGCTGGAGTACTTGTGAGCGGCTCGCCCCATCTCCTCGTAGCAGACTGCACTGTAGAAGTAGAGGTATGTCTTGTAGACGGGGTGCAGCTGCTCTAAGTTAGTCTTAGACTTGTATGGGACAGGCAGACATACAGGTTCTCTTGACTTCTCGAGCAGTTCCGTGGCCCGGGCAGCACATTGCTTGTACTGGCGCTGGATATACAGGAGCTTGACGCCCTGAAGAGCGGCCTTCCACTGCTGAGATGATCTAGGAACTAGTGGGGACTCAAACAGAGACGACCTGTTGGCGATTGAAGCCATTGTGGGTGTGAGTTGGGGGATCCAGCAGAGACAAGGAGGACAAAGAGAGGAAGGTGACAGCCCTGATTATAAGAAGAACAAAAGCTTGTCGCCGAGAAAGGACGTGACGTGACTTGACGTGAAGGGCTCTGCACCAATATAGCATGTGTACGTGTTCTGACGCTGCGGCAACCACATCGTGAACAGTTGTTATTAGGAGCGACCACTTTTGCGGTAATGTCTGTTCTATACAAAGCTCACTACAGGAGGTAGGTAACAATATCTTGCAAAAAGCTTTGAGTCTTCCCGTCCTGTCCTGTCCTCTCGACTTGTGACCACTTTCACAGGGTGACTCTGAAAAGAGTCAGTTAATACAATCACCCTTCAAGTTGATTTGGTCACCTATCTGTGACTATTCGCACACTGCTAAAAGCTACTACCAACCCTTGAGCCTCTACCCTCTATCCATGCCTGTACTGGTGCTTTAGCTGCCATACTATGAAAGTTAAAGTATGCTGGCTAGTAGGTAGAAGGCACAGGTGTGAAAAGCTGGCCCATCGACACCCCCGACAAATAGCGTGAGGACGTCGTGTTCTCCTTTACCTCTCTCCCTCTCATACCTCCCAAACCCCACGACGTTGCATATAATTACCGTTTACTAATTCCAGTAATGTTGCCGGAGTAGGCTCTTCTCACCATACGGAGGAATCTTCCGAGCAAGAAATCTACCACGAGACTTCAAATTACAACATTGTTCAAAGAAAAGCAGAAGGTTAATAGACTGGCTGCTAACTAAGTAAATGGTTATGTCCAAGAGGCGGGCCGAGAAAAATATCAGCACTACGAGACCTCTTTTGTATTTATCGTAGAATAGACGGCGAGATTGTACTTTTCTTCCGTCCTCATGGCAGTGCACAGGGCATTTCAATATCACATTTGGAGACCTCATCACTGCTGGAGGAAGATATTGCTCAAGGAATATTTGTTGGTGTAGGCCGCCCAGTGGAATAGCAATAAATGCCGATGGCGGGTATCTGCGGTAGTACTTTACTTCATATTCATTTTCGACATCCTAATCGTATCTCTCTCTGTTAGTAAAACTGACAAGTGATATATAAACTGCCCTGTTAGCTACTCACAGTACTCTTCAGAGAGTTATTGAATTTTCCAAATTCATTGTGGACAGAATATCGGAGTGTCAAGCCATTAGAAACGTCATTAATATTATCGACAGCAAAACACATGCGCCGTACCTCAGGAAAGCAACGATGGAGAACTTCCCAAGCTTTTGCACGGTCATACGAGGGATTCTAGACTTTATTAGTATATGAATATCATACACTGGCGAATATATTGCCATTGTTTCCCAAGAACCGTATGAAAATGGGATGATATGGGCTCCTTCTGCATCAGCGAAATTGATACCCTCAGGACTGCCAAGGTGCTCCAGGTAACCAGTGTCCATTTCGCCAGTTACAACACATTTATAACTATCACGTAGTAGAAAACGGTCGTGGAACCCTTGCTCACGAGTATTGGGCTGAGCAAGTGTTCCAGCCATAACCTCAACGTTATTGTGCCGGTTTGGATAGGACCCATAGGGGGAGTCTGTATCGGATGGTAGTTTAGTCCGAGCTTTCACTGCTCCAAAGGATTAATTAGTGATGCCTTATGAAAGCAATATTTTCTAGGCGTACTAGCAATTGCAAGGTCTGTTCATCGATTTTCAAAGACTTGGTGCAGCTTATCGTCTGTAGTTGCATTTATACAATCTCTCGCAATAGATTCCCGAGCCGCCTTCTGGTAACCGGTCGATGAAAGCATGTAAGGAAAGTTGAACTTTCTCATCGAAAGGTCGATTCTGGGGCTGATATCGTGCTATTCTTTCCCTTGCTTCTTCTACCAAGAGCGGCCAAGACTCCTGAGACTCGCCATCAGTGGACATATTCGATAAGAATGCCTGCGGCTGCTGTGATGGACCTTTTTTTTTTGGCTTACGCGGCGATTTCCGAGGTGGGCCCGAAGCAGATGGAGATACTGGTCGTTTATACTTTCTGCGAGGCATGGTGAAATGAGGTACAAGCGTGAACTAATGGTCAGTGCATGTGAGTGACCTCTACATCATGGTCCAGACCTGATTCGTGTTTGATAGAAGTTAAGGGAATAAGAAAATATGTGAAGACATGGTTGATTGAGAAAATTCATAGGCAGGCTTGCTGGGGGAAGAAGAGTTTTCTCAAACAGAAGACAATTTTTCACTTCCCACCTCTTCACCCCTCTTTCCTTTATTGCTTCTTCACTGCGCTCCTATCACCACGCCAGTAAAATAGCTACAAGGAGCGCGGAGATCACCTGGCAGACCACAATCCTTGGGAGCACCACTACTCCAACCAGCTTTCCGATACTAAAACAGTGACTGCAGGTATTATAGTGCAGGAATAGAGTAGAGAAAACGATGATCTAACCCTATTTCCCTCATTTTAAAGATAGTACTCTAGAATAGGGCAACGCGTTTAACGTGCACCTCCCGAGAACCTGATTGGACAGCCACTTCCATTCCTCCCCCTCGAAAACGACGCCCACACGATAATCTTGTCATTCAGCTTGACATAAATACTATGTAACACCGCCGCATGCCATCCTGCTCCATTTGATTCCCAAACCTTCGCACACACCCAACATCACGCCAAAATATCTTCACCATGGCTCAACGTCCAACCCCAATCGGGAAGCCCTTCCAAATGTCATCTACAACAGCCACCGCCATCGTTGACATCCCAAACCCGCAACCATACTACAGCTACAACGAAACCACCCAGACATGGAGCCCGGTGCAAACAGATACCACTCAAGAAGCGACTAGTACTAGCACGGTTCCCCTCAAAGCCTTCACCCTAACAACCTGGAACATCGACTTTCAAGAGCCCTGCAAAGCAGAGCGGACTCAAGCTGGCCTAAACTATCTGGCAAAGATCTTACTCAAACCCAGTGATGACAACAATGAAGAAGCCACACCAATAAACATCATCTTCCTCCAAGAAATGGTTCTCAAAGACCTAGCCGTCATCCAACAGACCAAATGGGTCCAGGACCACTTCTTCATTACCGATCTGAGCGACACACACTGGATACACGGCTACGGAACGACGACCCTGATCGACAAGCGGTGTCATGTGCAGCGGGTGTTTAGGGTCCCATTTCCAACGTCCAGAATGGGGAGAGATGGGCTTTTCGTGGACTTAGATTGTGTTCAGGGCCAAGAAGGTGGTCATGGTGATGAGATTGGTATAGTCCCTTTCTTTTGTCTTTCCTCCTCTCTCTTGCTGTCCTTCTTCCGATATTCATTTTGAGAGCTCTTATGCTTCGAGAGGCTTTTGTCGAAATTTGCTAAGGATACAGGAACCCTCCGTCTCTGCAACACCCATCTTGAAAGTCTCCTCTCCATCCCCCCAATCAGACCTAGACAAATCCATCTCGCTTCGCAGTTCATGCATAGCTCTGGCCCAGGAGAGATAGACGTACCCACTCCGCACGCGGCTATATTAGCTGGTGACCTCAACGCCTTTGCGCCTGAAGATCTCACCGCACCGAATGACAGCAAGCTCCGTGATGCGTTTCTGGTTCTTGGTGGGAAGCATGGCACGGAGGAAAGCTTCACGTGGGGCCAGCAGGTTCCCGATTTGATGAGGGATAAGTATGGATGTTCTCGTATGGACAAAGTTTTGTTTTGTGGTGGGTTGGAGGTGGAGAGCTTGCAGAGGATTGGAGCTGGGCAGACGGTTTGGATCGAGTATCCGCAAGTGAGTGATGGGGAGAGTGACGATGGGAAAGGGGAGGAAATGTGGATTACGGATCATTTGGGATTATCTGCTGAGTTTAGGATTACAGGCTAAGGGAGCAAGGAGACTGCATGATGGCTGGTTCTCGAACTGGATGCGATACGATGACTGGGCCGATTTATTTGTTTCATTCATTAATATTTCTTTCCTATCTCTGACGTAGTTTTGATGTTTGTCCGTTTATCCCTTGCCAACAGGCTGTTGTGATCAGACTACCGCTGACGAATCCGAATAAAATAGCCATCGAGATGTAAATAATTTACAGGGCTCCACAATTAATCAGAGGCTAGCCACCATTGTAGGTACTTGCGATATTAAAGCAGAAGCTCCATCGTGCAAATGAGCAAGTCGTAAGTCGTAGATCTCCATGTCCTTGAGGAAAGCGTTCATCCGCGAGCAACAATGACGACCGACCAAAGGCCAACCACTACTCAGGGATCTCAGGCGTCGAACTCTTTCCATTGGCGGCTTCTGGTCCGAACCTGGTGCGTGATAGCGCCTCGCCTGTGGCTGAGAGCGCACTCAACAAATCACCTAACAGCCGATCCATCTCAGCCGTCACATCACTCTCATATGCTCCTTCATGCATCACTTCAAGTCGAGGAGGCACAAGATCAGGGAATACAATAGGCTCCATTTCATCAAGTGCACTTGTAGCTGGAGCGTGTCGAGCTGTGGGTAATGGCTCGGATGACGGAGAGTCACCCCTTGCGGCAAACGGAGGGTTGGGCTCTAGCTCATTTGTTGGGATGGCAGTCGGGAATGGCTCGGACTGCAGAGCGGAGTCTGATACATCGGGATTATCTTGCCAAACGGGGTGGCTCTCCTCCTCATCCGGCCCAGGCCCGTCTAATACAGATGACTGATCATCATCCTTGTCCTCATTAGATGCTAGAAGCTCCGGGTAGTCATTCTCCAGACCTTGCTGCTGCTGTGGGATGCCGCCTGGTGGAGTGGAAGGCCGGTCAAATCGGAATGGATCGTAGTCAGTATCCGAGCTTATCGACACACTAGCACGAGAATGAGTGGATGCCGACGTGGATGGCCGAGAGTCACCAGGCTCCCCAATACTGGTGGGTCGAATCGTGGCCGCAGGCTCAAGGTCTAGAACTGGTGCCCTTAAAGTATCATAGCGACTGTTATCCATATCATTATCGGTGCCATTCTGGTCCTCGCCTGCAGCTGCGGTCATGAGAGGAAAGGTCCATTCCATCGTTGCGCGCCTTGCGGTGGGTTCAGGCTCCACAGGTGCCGGTTCCTGCGACGCTTCCGTCTGGGGTTCCTCCTCCTCCGGAGGCTGCATGAAAACTGGGAACTTCCAATCCATGGTTGGTGGTCGCGGGCCACTCTGAGGCTGGAAAGTCAAATCTTGAGGTTCCCGGTTACTGACATCACTGCTGGACGAGCAAGAACGACTATCACTAGAATTACGGAATTGACGACCGCTAGACCTGTTCGCCTTGATAGTATCTGCATCAGCAAGTTGAAAGGGTTGTGACGACGAAGCTCCAGCTGCATAGTGTGAGGAATCAAATGAGCCAATGTCAATATCGATAAACGTCGAGGTGACGGAGGAGCGATCGGTCTCGGTGCGAAGAGGTAGGTCTGAAACAGGCTGCTTTTCCTCAATTGGGACAAAATCATTCTTCGTCTCGTACGTATAGCTTGGTTTCTCTTCATTGAAAAGCCCCTCCATAGCTTCAGCGCCTCGTCGGACACGCTCATCGAAGTTAGCCTGATCTTCCTTTGTCATTACCCGCTCAATCGGTTCATCGAATGACTCTCGTGCAGGTTGCATATTCGTGGTGCCAATTTCGTCTTCCATCTCTGCCAAAGATGCGGCTATCTGGTCAAGGTCAATGACGGAGAACCTTCGTTCAAACCCATCTGTGGTGCTGAAATTCCAGTCACTGTCTGAGTCCATAGTTGTGCCTGGCATCTCCGCGGCTGCTGCACCTCCGGGGTGGAATAAGGAGATGCGCTGGCCTCCCCGCTGCGACCACTGATAATAGATCCGCACTAGCTCACTCAAAGATGATGTGGGATAAGCTTCCTCGGTATCCGCAATGTATGCGTGCGATTGTATGTCTGCCATTGTTGGTCGGGTAGATGGGTTTGATTCCAATACGAAAGAGACAATGTCTTTCAGCCCATCACTGTATTTCGAGTTTTCCAACTTGGGAGCGACGCGGTTGAGTTGCCTTCCTATCTGCATTCGCTCTCGCAAAGTTGAGTTCGGGGGGTTTCCCGTCGCTATTTCGAAGAGCGTGCAGCCATAGGCCCATACATCGATCTATCCCGGTTAGTATGTGATGCTACATCAGGGACTAGGCGATCCAACCTCGCTACCGTATTTGTGCGCTTCGCCACGCATAGAGAACATCTCAGGTGGCATCCAGTGAGGTGTTCCAATCCAGGTCGATCGTTTGTCCAACTGTGATTGTAGCACTCCAGCCACACCGAAGTCGCATATTTGCAATCGTCCCTCCTCGTGTATCAGGATATTGGCGGCTTCGTGAGATTATTAGCATCCGTACGATTTGGGCTTCTAACATCAGTCCTACCTTTGATATCTCGGTGAATGATGCCAGCATCGTGGATAGCACGTAAGCCAGCGGCAAGCTCACGAGCTACAGGGATGAGAAACTTTTCATCCAGTTGATCACCCGTGGCTCTCATCTGGTATGATCAGCGATTGATATGATAATAGGCTTTGACGCTCTGGACAGCAGATAACCAAAGAAAAAACACGATGGATTATAGGGTGGACCGGACAGTGCAGACTTACCAATGTCCTGACGCTTCCACCGGGGCAGTACTCACAAACCAACCACAACTGGGAGTGGATAGAGATGGCTTCGATTATTTCATTGATGTTTTTTGCTCCTGAATCTTTGACCTGCTTCATGACCTTCGTTTCATGAATAAAGTCCTTTATAGACTCGTCTCGAAAGTCTCGAACACTCTTGTAGTCCAAGGAATCAATATCCATGACTTTTATCGCCACTATTTTGCGCGAGGGCAGCTGGTGACCTTTGTACACGCGGCCATAAGCACCTTTGCCAATCAGCTCCTCGAATTCGTACGGAGGAGTATCAGTTTTCGCTCTGCGACACATCTCCTGGACCGCGACGCCCTGCTCACGCGCAAGCTTGATGGCCTCTGCTTTGTGCTTCGTAATAGCGGCCATGGCAGACGTCGGATCCAGGAACTTGGAGCCACGAGGGGGATCCATGGTGGATATTGAGGGCTTGGGGAAGACTGTCTTGGTTTCACGCAGATCGCAGTATCTCAAGGGCTCCGGCGTTGGCGGAAGTAACGAGTCCTGGCTTTTGACTGCTTGCTCTTCAGCCAGGCCCCGGGAGTTCAGCTTCTGGATCGGGGCTGTTTCGTCGATAGGCTCGTCGTGTGGGGAGAGTGAGAAATAGTCGGCGGGGTAGGAAGTTTGGAGGTAGGGTGAGGAATACTGCGACGACTGCGAAATGGGAAATTCACTTTCTTCGGGCCGGGAGTTCGGCTTCTGCCCAACGCTGCCTGGCCTTCTGTGTAAGGGGTCACTAAATGAGCGCGGTTTCCACTTCCTGAGGCGCGCTGGAGAAAGTGGGTTTGAGAATTGTCGCGAATGATGTGGTGGCCCTTCGCTGTAGGAGTGGCAATACCTTTCCCAGAAGTCGTCCTGATCTTTCAACTCGGGCTTTTTTCTCCCGTGACCGAAAAGACTTTTGATTGCCGAAGTAAGGCTGAGAGAACCTAGCGACTTACTGGCCTTCCTTGATGCGCTTTTGAGTGGTTTTGCAATAGGCGAGCGGAGATGGCCCGAAGAACTAGTGTTGAAAGAGTCACGAGGAGCGTTTGAGCAGATGCAACGAGTCCGTTCACAAAGACGGGTTTCCTTTGCCGCGAGCCTGCTACCGGATGCAAGGAATGTGTTCTCTGACTGCTGTCCAAGCTTCTCGTTATGCAACCCTCTCTGCTTAAGCTCAGTTGAGACCCCAAAGCCAAAGCGCGCAGAACCTTCCGGATAGGCCCTAGCTCTGCATGGAGGTAAAAGTCAGCGTTCGACACGCCAGATGATCAAAAGAAAGCCAAACCGGCAGGCGCATCTTCGGTCGACTGCAACCTTTGAGTTACCCATCCTTGAACACTTCCAAGCAATGACAGTATCGTAGGAAGGTAAGAGATGTGGATGAAGGAATACACGCCTGATCTTCCAAGCTTACCAGGTACGGCGGGTGGAAGAAATAGGAAGGAGGGGAAACAACAGGGAAGGAAAATAACAACAGAACAGACACGAGGAGGGGGAAAGGCACGAAAAGCCTGCATACTGACCTGCGCTTTAATCACAGTACAACCTCTTTCTAAGGTGTAGAAAGATTGCTAGGAGATGATCTGGAGCCCAATGCCACGCAGCCTCTTCTCTAATACATCAATGACGGACGGTCCTTGGCATGGGGGTCTTAGAACAGGTCTACTTGTTCTATCAATACTACCGACACTCCGCAATATACCAGCACCTTTCACGATAAGTTAGCTCTTGGAGGGTTTCCGCAATGCGGACTAGGGGCCGTGGAGTTGATAGCAATGGAATCAAGGTGTCGATGCTTTTATTGCAAGATTGGCACTGAAAGCGAAGATAATGCCAGCCGCGCTAAGAGCGGGCGCTAATGTTAGCGTGAAAGCAATCAATTGGTCGATCACCGCACTGAGAGGTGGCGGGCTGTCACTGCAATTCACTCCCAGTCACAGTTGGTATACAGTGCAGTGTCATCCAATTCCAGAACAACGGTAGGTGATCCTGTCCAATTGCTGTTATGCTGAAAGAGCTTATTCGGCCGATAGTTCACTAAGATGAAAGAGCTTCTGTATGTGACCAGCCACAAGAATCGACCCCGATTTATTGTAGCAACAGGCAATATTCAATAGCTAACATCCCTAGTATTAGCATGAGAACGTGGAACTAGTCACAGCATCAATATTGATACAAGGGGGTAGAATCAAAGCTAGTAAAAGTGGGCACAAAATTATAGTATTGAATTAGATAGAGAAAAGAGCCCCAGTATCCACTTTGTGAATCAAATATTTCCAATATTGCATCAAAACTTATTCTCATGCCATATGGATCAAAGGGGAACGCAGCAGTTATAAACACACCGCTTCTGGTGTATACAGTGTGAAATAATGCAGAAAGGTATTTTCCCAAGATTTTCAATAGACTTACCACACATGCAAATCTAATTACTATAGTATTTCACGATCCTCTAATTAATCAACGTGTTTAAGAGGGAGGAGGTATAAGGAGCCAAAAAAAAAGGAAGATCACAATCTATTAAAAATCACAACATAGGCTCTAGAAGAACAAAATGAAACATTATGGCCGAGTAAAGTCTTCAGTCCCCGGAAAATAGTGGATAGGTTGGGTTTCCACGGTGAAGGACAAGAAACGTTCCATTAAAGTTCCAGACATGTCACGTTACTGCTGATCCATGCGGAACATTATTTTTGCCGTGTGAAGGAGTAATTTTGTTTTTGTTTTTTTCCCCTCCTTTCAACAATACCCATGGTCACTGTGTGGCTCTGCGCCCACAAACATGTGAGCTATGCTTATGTACACCTCCAGTTATATATCCAACTTGTCAGACAGTTCATATAGATGTTGCTCTGCTTTGCGTGTCAATTATCTAAAATTTATCTATGTATTTCTCAGAATAAACCAACATGCATGTTCAAAATTGCCGACTCAGTTCATTCCAAACTCTTGCCTCAAAGTTGTACCGAAACGGGAAATTGCTTCAGCAATAGCATCAGAGCTAGCGGCAGCAAATGTAGCACGGAAGAATAACTTCTCCTCGCTCGCGCCTTGAGCTTTGAACCAGCTGCCACGAGAGATGAGGACACCGTTGTTGACTGCGGCCTGGAAAACCTCCTCCTCAATTTCTTCGCGTGTCTTGCCAGACGAAATTCCAGGGTGCTTCCGCCAGTCGATTTCAATCCAATGCTATTTCCTGTCAGTGCCTTGGTCGTGAGGAATGAAGGATTTAGATAAGCTCTGAACTTACAAACATCCCTGCTGCAGGGGGATTCCAATGGGCAAGTTCTTGGGGGAGATACTTCTCACACGCATGCACCATGGAGTCTCTGCGAGCCGTGTATGACATACGAAGGTTGATCAGCCAGTCTAAGTACCCAGCGTGGCCCCATTGCTCCTCCAACAGCTTGTAAAGCACAAGCTGCGAGATACCACTTGGATTCTGGGAACTAGTCTCGCAGGTTCTGTTGAATCGTTCGATGATTTGCTCAGATCCGACAGCCCAGCCAACCCGGGAGCCGGGAGCAATGACCTTAGAGAATGATTCCAGCCGAAGCACACGACCATCAGTGTCAAGACTCAGGTAGGAAGGGATAAGAGACTTGATGAATTCTTCGTGGTTGGCTGGCGGTGGAACGGGCTCACCATCAGCTCCAGCGTATGGCTGCATCTGCAAGAAGTAATAGGGTTCATCCTCCACAATATAAACGTCATGCTTCTGGGCAACCTTGTAGACTGCCTTGCGTCTCTCCGCCCGTTGTGTCGCACCCGTAGGGTTCTGTCCTGTTGGGATAGTGTAAAGAACGAAGGGCTTGCGAGCACCCCGGGCGCTTTCATCCCAGTTGCTTAGGACCTCGTCAAGGGACTCGGGCAAAAGGCCCTCCTTGTCCATTTTGATAGGTGCCACCTTCAGGCCCAGAGGGAGGGCAGTTTCCTGTGCGCTAGAGAAGGTATATTCTTCCATCATGATATAATCGCCCCGTTCGCAAAAGAGCCTGAGTGCCACATCCCAGCCGAAGGTGCTACCACAGTTCAAACAACATTGCCAGTCCGAATAGGGGGGGTTGTGGATGAGCTGTTTCTATTAGCTTCGCCCTGACCCCTCCGATCATTCAGCGTACCTCTGTATGTTCTGTGACGTATCTCAGAAGCTGCGGAGCACCCGTAGCTTGACCATAATTGAGAGCTACCTCAAGATCTTCGTAACGTTAATGCCAAGACCGGGTGCGAACGACGGTTGAGAGCCAACTAACCGTATAGACTTTTGCCTTCGCGAATATCACTCTTTCCAGTGTGTGCAACCGTTCCCGACTCGCGAGTAGCTTCAGGCGTGAATCCTGGTGGAGTGGGAACCTTGATATCGAGCTCCTCGAAAGGAAAGTATTCCGGAGAGGGCAATCCACCGCCCAGAGAAATGAGGCCTGGAGAACAACCTTCAGCAGGAGACATAGCTTGCAAAACGAATAGAATTACCTGGGTTCTTCAAGTATTTCGCGGCGCCTTTCAATGTAGATACCTAGTACATAAAAACTTTTAGCCTTTCACTCCAAGCCCCGCTTGAGCAATGCTACTACAAACCTTCCGGGATTTTGCTTCGATGGAGAGAATGTCTAGAGTTGGTCAGTCGTTGTTCTATGGTCGGGAAAGTATCGGTTTATAAACAGGGGGTCGTTGTCGGGAGACTCACGATCCCAGCGTTTAGCCTTGGGCTTCGTATAACATGCCTATTGCAATATGATATTGCAATTAGCACATATTCGTAATGCAGACCGGACCACTTCTAGCACACGGGGGCTTACCGGACTTTTGAACATATCACTACTCGTCGCAGGTGCAACACCCTTGGGAATTGGGGCACTCTTGGCCCTCAGAGCAGGAATGCCCTCCACAGTCAGAGGGGCTGCGGGGGAGCCATTCGCATTATCGAGAGCGGCTGAGGGGCTCATTTTCTCTATTGTTTGCGATTGAGTGGATTCAGTATAATAAAAGCTATCCCTAGTTGACTGGCGTACAAAATTACTTTGTGGAAGTCTCAACTGTATGACAATCTGAATCTTCCACGAGGAAGACAACAATTGTAGGGGAAAGCGGGAGTACAAGTAGGTATGAATCAGAAAGAAAGATAAAGGTCACACACCGATAAGCGCCTGTTTTTCGTCTCCGCTTGGAACGCCGAGCGGACCGGTTTCCGCTCACACAGATTTACTGACGCCATTGAGGGATAGCGATAGCGCCAAAATCCTTTTGCATTGTCAAACTCTAATTTTATCTATATCATTTATCATTTCCGCATTATTGCCCTTTATTGGGTTTCTGTTATCTAATCGAGGAAGAGATCCAAGCATCTGAATGGCTCTGGCAGATGCTTAACGCGCCTTAAATCACCTGCAGGGCGCGGGGGCGGACAGCTAAGTATGGTAAGGTGTGGTATCACAATACAGATTGAATGCGACAATATCAGCATGATCACCCGACCAGGGTTGTAATTCCCGGTACTCCGGGTATAGTTATGTCCGCGCGCATAGACCAGGCTACCGCCGGGATCGGATACCAATCAATATCATTACTAATTCGCCCTGTGTCACGAGGTCTCTTCCCAAAAGAGGTGACGCGGAGGCAAAATACATCCTTGATATCTTGTACGCAAAAGGACGGGTCCTAGCAGTAAGTGAGCCCCCCATGTCCTGGAATGGTAATCCCAATACGTGTCGAAATAATAGTCTTAAATAGTTGGAATTGACACCACTTATCGAAAAACCTATATATCCTCTATGTATATTCTGGCACTCCCATGCACAAACTCTATGCGCATTAAGCACTATCAGCCCACGAATTAGAGCTAGTACTTTTGGATACCTTCGACAATAGAGCCAAAGTTATAATCTCTGCACCTACTATCGTTGTCTGACAAGTAAGGAATCACTCAAGTGCCCTAACCCCTGTGTCGACTATGTCAATCAGCGTATCTCTTGAGAGAACCTATTTTATACTATAAAGCCAAGTAAGCTAGGCTACTCACTCCCTGGTATATTTAGATATTAACCCTCTTCGCCATTTATTAGTAAATCCAGCTATGGTAGGAAGACCATCATAGAAGATACTTGCATAATCAAGGATGATGGTTCAAGACGAGAAAAGTTGAATCAGGCTGACTGCCGTAGTGCTGCCAAGGAACAAGTTCTCGAGGCTTCAAATCACTGGGTAGGATTGCAGGATGTCTATCAATTAGCTCATATTAGTTATGGGTTCCACTGCTCAACAGCCATCCTATGGGATCTGAACATTGATGGACTTGAATATAGATAGCCATTGCTCGATCTAATAAAGTTAGCATCGGGTTACCTTTCATCGAACTATTCACGCCCAGCTGCTGTCAACTCGACAATCCTCGGCTGAGGCCTTGGTGACAACCAGCGCTGAAACTGGGAGATCTGCACACCGGACAAATGATGTAACGGAAAGCCAAAGAGAAATATTTCTCACGCGTGGCCTAGTAAAAGTACTCTGAAGGAGACAAATGTCGCCTTTTGGTATCCATAAGCACGGCCCCTGGAATCATCGGGCCCATAATCTATGTTATCAGCACTCGCAGCTCGCTGCACGCCATAGCGAGCCAATGCCACATTCAGTCATTTCCCCTTATTTCAGTAGGCCGTGGAAGCCTTAAGGGTCCCAATCGGCAGACTCCATTCAGGCTTGGCGATTAAAGCAACCGCGGGCGGGAGTGGAGCCTCAATCTTGTTGACACCCTGATGCGGTTGAATTTTGAGAACTTCTGGTATAAAATCTAAAATCTCTATAATATATTTTTACCTTAATCTAGGCGCTTAGCACATTCCATATGGCGGAAGGAACTCCCGCAGTTCGTGCCCTATCTGAAATGTGACAGGGGAAGTTTCCAAAACCTCTTTTGATCTCCTGGGTTCCAATAGCCTGCTGTCCAAATGCTTCGAGAAGTAGATTTGCCAGTGAGTATCTTTATTTATGTGTCAAGCTTCACCAGGGAGTCGTATGACCATCGAGATATCTATACTACGACAAAGGCTTTCCTATCTTGGGGTACTATACAGTGGCAATATTTCTAGCGAGACTTCGAACATCATATCATGGTTCGTACCAAAGACAGAAAACTGGAGTGACGGCCATCGGCTAGATCCTAACGCCGGCCCTAACCAGTGTCTTCTATAATCCATCACATTACGTCACGCCTTTATGCGACATGACCCATATCGTGTTACCTTGAATTTACAATGGGGTTAAAATCTACCCCAACAGTCTTTATCGGTCTGTTGAACACATGTTTATACCGAAACGAATATATTGTGCGGCAGATTTTCTAATTGGAATCATTTTCCGTCTAGGGTACAATCGGCAAGGTAGGAAGGACTCCAGTTGGATAAGCTTTACTCACAATGCGAGAGTTTCGGCCTGTCTTCACTACTTGTAGATCCTATTAATAACCCATACAAACCTACAGATAATCTACGAACCATGGTACCTAGTGCATTGATGCATGTAGTTCACAGTGCCATCAGAGGCAGCCACTCGTATTACGCACTCAGATCGGCGAGCCGTGGTAAACGATATTGCCACCCAGACTACACTTACCTAGAACAGTATCTCAATGCACACGAAGCTAGCGGGATCTTAGTTCACGATAGTCTTCATTAAGCAAGCCTTCATTGGTAGGTCTTAGGTCTCTAGAAATGTTCGTTCAGGATGACGTCTACTATATCTCCCAAGTCAGCGTCCGGTTGGTCTAGGCTTACGAGTCTCAGTTTCTTAAGACAAGGAACACCGTCCAGCTAGCCCCGGACATAAATATGCTCTATCTCCCATAGAGTGCCATAACACCCAGTAACCTCATTTCCAAGCCACAAGACCTATGCTATTCACAATCATGAAAAGCTTCATCACCTTAACGGCTCTTGCTGCCGGCGCACAGGGCCTCACAGGTCGCACTACTAATTGTTGCTTCCATCTTACTGCCTCAGGCGGTGCCTCGGGCACCGTTGGCCAGCTCAGCGATGGACAAAACCGTATTGGTGACAACACTCTGTCTCCTGCGCAATTCTGTATTAACTCGCATGGGGCTATCACGGATGGCAGTGGCCGTGGCTGCATCTTAACTCGTAAATAACACACCTTTCGGATAATGGAAGAAGCGTTAACAAGCTGACGAACAACGTAGCGCCGACTACTCAGTTCCAGTGTGATCAGGGTGCCACACCTGAGTCGGGTTTCTCTATTACCCCATCTGGCTTGCTAGAGTTTCAAGGCGGCTCTGATTTCCTCGCTTGTGACACTGGCCAGAACGGTGGTATGAACATCCATGTCACTCCTAGCAAGGCCCTCGGGAAGTGTGTAAACATCCAGTTGAAGGCCGACTCATGCGCGCCTTCTGCCTCCTCTGCCCCACCCGCAACAACGTCCGCTAGCAATAGCTGTCCCACCACGTTGTCTTCGGGCAACTTTGAGTTTCCTCATCTGATCATTCCTGTCAACTCAAAGTCTCCCAATAAGGCGTTCGGCACCTCATTCAACGGCACGGTGACCTCAACCATCTCAAGCATATTCAACTTCGATATTCCCCGGTCTGATTCTGGCAAGACGTGCAGATTAGTGTTCCTGTTTCCCCAGAAGGCTGACCTTCAGACCTCATCCTTTAGCTTCAGCGGCGATGGCAAGGTAAACTTTTCCAAGCTTTCCAAGGCTGCTACTACCTCTACTACCTTTAACAACGCTCCCTCTATCTCGCAAGATCTGGGTAATATCACGATTTCGCCTGGAAATTCATTCGTTGTCTCAACTTTCTCCTGCCCTGCTGGTGAGGCTATAGCCTTCGAAATGAAAAATGCCGGTACCACCGAGCTTAATTTCTTCGAGGACTTCAACCCTGCTCCGTAAGTTGACTTGTCTTGATAGACCCACCTTTCTATTGGGCAAGAAGCTAATGTTAATTCAGCCTGGGTCTTTTCATCACTGTCTGCTAAAGAAGCAGCATAATTTCGGTGTTATTTTCAGACTTCCATCATTAAGAGTTAATCATCTGTACTGAGTTCCTGACCAGAGTGATCATGCCGGAAACAATTTGCACAAGAGCCTCATACCTCAAATGATTACGCAAGTTCCCCGTCCAAAAGTCATTCATTTTGGTTAACGTCCTGGAAAACACCTAATCATCAGATTTTTGTATTACGTCAGTATTGAAATCGATTAATTATTTTTCAAATCCAGCAGCGTTGGTGTAGTGAAGACTTTATTATAATAGCATTGGACAGGGTGGCAGATTCTATTTCACCTAGTCGATAGCTCCTGTGACTGATCTTATTGTATTTCTTTTCAAATATACATCCATCCTACGGTATATGGCTAGAATATAACTAATTGATTAACAACTCCATAGGACCAATTGTGTCAGAAATAAGGGCCAATCATGTCTGCGTTCGAGGAATTTCCCAACATAAGTACACCAAATGTAGCCCAAAAGAACAACGAGCAGCGGATCTTCTTCCACTGCAACATCTCTTTTGAACCTTGATTCTCAAGATCTGCTTGACGCATGGACCAGTCCCGTATATCTCGAACCCTGGATTCATGGCCCTCGTTACCGCCCACAAAGCATTTTATCCAGAAGTTGCCCGAGCATGTTCCTGGATATTTATATAATACCCGGCCTGTACTGTGTGTCGAATTGATGGCCAAATTACCACATCCATCTCCGAGCCATCGGCGCCTTGAGGTTGTGGCCGCACTTCCAGGGCATGATGAATCCCAAAACCTTGTATCTGCCATAGCCATAGTGAGGATGCAATCGAAACCGGGGACGTGCTGTCAGCTGGAGGTAACGCCTGTCTCCATTGATAGAGAACAAAATTTGAAAGTTTTTTTCTCCGATACGTTGACCCTCACACGGCAAGCGAGTGATTAGCCGTCGCTTCAATATGGTAAGGTTCTATAGTGTGCGACCCGGGTTTTGAAGACAGGAACTATTCCCGCTTCTTGCATGTGACTATGGAGTACAAATCGAGTAAGTTGGACAACATGCTCGTCACCATATTGCCAGTAATGTCTTCAGAGACATAGCTTCATCAGTTTGTAGGATGGCATCAAGTGCTAGGTGAATATATGGCGAAGGAGATATAGTTGGTTAGGGTGGGGACAAGAATACCTATTGATTTGGTTCAAGTAATGCGATGAGCCCTTATATAATTGCCTCACCGGCTTCAAGTTCTATGGCTTAGTGCCGTGCTAGAAACCCTCCAAATCAACCTTTACCAATCTCAAGAGCGCTGCTTCGAGGGGCCAAGGATCGATGAACGTTTCGATCTTCTTCTCCCAGTCTCCTTCCCAAAGATAGTCAGCAAAGAGCACGGCATGCTCCCAGTACCTGGGATACCATCCAGCGAACTCCCAATCTATGATGCCCGTCACCTTAAACTGTCTATCAGTGTGGCCATCGTTTCCCAGAAGCTCTTGAACCATAATGTTTTGCCTGACCAAGTCAGAGTGCGTAAAGGTACTCGGATGGTCTTTTAGTGCTTGTGGAAGGTGTCGTGCAAACCACTCTGAGCTCCATGGGTGTCTATCATTGCGCTCCTCCTGCTTTTGTGCAAGGAGAGCCAGACCCAGATGAAAGTCCTCCGATGTCTTGAAAGGCCCATTGATACGTGGATCCTCGTCCATCCAACAAAAGAGTCGATCTTGAACAGGGCCTCCGGTCACGCCCCCGAAATAACCCCGTGAGGGGATGCTGCGAATTTGAGCGAATATCTCTTTTAGTTGATCACATACAGACGCCTTCTCATTGCACGAGAGCTTCTCCCAGAGTTGTAGAAGATCTGTTCCGGGAACTAATTGCATGATGAGGTAGAGAACGCCGTCCTTACGGTACATAGCGTAGAGCCGTGGTGCGGGTATTGATGATTACTTTTCCAAAAGGAGTAACGCGTGGCCTTCGTTTTCCCGAATATAACGCCCGTATTTAACAACGAAATGGTCGCCAACAGCAGCAACATGTCCGAGGTCACAACTTAAGCGTTCACGTTTTGTCGGTACAATGGTTCCCTCTTCAATTTCTTCGGCAGTAGGGAGGAGACATGGAAGCTGGTCAGGGTCCCGGAAAAAAGGAAGCGTGGTTATGGGAAGACTGGATGGAGGCGATCCCAGCATTTTCAGCGGCACGTTGGGAGGGAAATGAGGCGGGAGAAGAAGAATGCAGGAGACAGATGGTGTTGCGAAGGACAAAGCAGACCGAACAGGTGAAAACTATCAGCCGTTCAAGTCACACCAGGCAGGCGGCACCAGATAATATAGGACTTAATATAGATACTATCGAATATGGTTCTTAATAGGCTATTTGCGTCTAGCTGGTATAGTGTTCTTCTACCACCCATTCCTTTCCCTGAGTGAATGATCACAACAGTAAGCGACAATGGTAAGCCGAGATCAACCACCCCTGAGTTCCTTGGTGTTTCACATCATAGCCGTATACCTTGATGTACCAATCAAGCGAACATTTTAGGCGCACACCCTTTGCCGAGATTAGCTCATGCTTCCATCACAACGTTAAATCAGCCTCAGCGCGTAGATCACGCTTGTGATCCACTGCATGTGGGAGTCATTCAAGGTATCAATGCCTCTGAACCAATAATCAATAATCTATTGTTCTTTCTCTGGTGCTTATGTTCTTGGCGTCCGTGGTTTCTTGCTTGGTAGGATGCTCGACATAGTAAAGTTAGCATCTGGAAGCTCTGGAGTCGGACCGAGCTCGTGGCAAGTAAGCAAGCCTTGCGGCGAAAGGCGGTAAAAAAAAAAAAAAATCCGAGTCGGCCCGACTCACTACTTCGACGTCTACAGCATTCTCCTCCTGTGTGTAAGTAGGTATAGGGACTATAGCGAAATGCAAGCACGCCCATCTCCCGTAAATCACGCTTTGCAGCACTCTGTAACTGCGTGTCAGCGGTGTAGAGATCAGAAAGTGAGCTATCTCTCGTCTTTGCTTGAATTGTCGTCATATGATGCTGAGCTCTTGAATCATTGTTTTAGGTCAAATGTAGTCGGGAATGTCCTGCATGCGCCCGGTGCCAGCGGCTACAGGCCGATTGTACATATCCCAGCCCCCCAGTCCGCCGTGGTCGGAGGTTGCGCCGCAGCTCCCGGGGCGTGCGTCGTGTAGGTGGCCAGAGTACCGAACAACTCTCCCAACGCCGTATTATCGTGAGCACTGTCGGCGAATCCGCTGATGCTCAAGACTCAACTGCCAACCTAAGCCATCGGCCTAATATTTTGACGCCCCCCCGTCACCGTATGCCGCATAATGAAAACAGTCTCGCTCAAACTCAGTACCAAGCGCGCGAAGAAACTGCTACGTCGTCGAGAGGTATCCCATGCTCTGGAGGCCGAGCCAGCAGCTATCTTGCAAATGGTGTTGGTGTTGAATCAATCAATGTTTCTTCTGAATCATACCCAACTCACCTGCGAAACACGGATTTGATCAGAGAAGGCTTAACTGCTGATGTAGCTTGGCCACCTTTACCACCACGAGCCCTTGGATTGTCCTTACTGGACATATATTGTACGCGAATCTACAATGCATCCGTACTGTTCTGTAAACCTATTCTTTTCCAGGAGTATCTTGATGGAAAGATTCCTGAGGTCCTGCTCAAGGCTCTTTTTGCGTTAGCTACGGTGTAAGTTGCCACATCTACGCCTGGATCGGCCAGCTAAGACAATATTTGAAGATTTCTTACTCGAGTAAATGAAGACAACAATGAGGAACAATCTGAGTGGTCGGAGTTAAAACTTTTAAGCGCATATTCATCGTGTGGCCTTTCATGGGCAAAGTCAGCTCTAAGGGAAGCTATGTCATCCATCTGCACAGAACCATCTCTGGCTGTTTTGCAAGCGCTTCATTGTTTACAACTGTATTGGTTTGGAGCTGGTGAGCCGCGAACCGGCCATTTATGTCTTAGTAGGTTTTTTGTCTCTCTCCTTCTTTGACTAGTCGCACCTTGTCATAGTATTGAGGACTTTCGGGTATCACAAAATCTCCGCTAACGGTCTTGTAGCTCTGGCCTACCGTTCGTGTGATCTCCTTGGATACAACAAAAAGGTTGTTGACGGAGTTGAAACCCCCGATTTCTTGCTCGAATCAGAGTCAAGACGTCGATGCTTCTGGGCCTGCTGGATATCCACATGCATGGTCATGGAACCAGAACCGTATGTCAGATTGGCCTGGGCCGAAGCATCCATGATACCACTCCCTGCTGCTATAATACATAAAACTTCCAGAGATGAGGTTGTATTAAACGAGAAGATGGACCATAACTGGTGTTCAAGCTTAGCCATATCTCAGTGCGAAAGTATTCGCTCCCCAGTGGATGAGGCACTATTGGTTAAAATGGTCGGAGTGTGGTAAGGACTTCCGACAATGTTAGGATTAGTCTTTCTTGCTTTCGACGCTAAATCATCATGCTGTCTATTCTGTAGGGCTAAAGTTCAGCTTTTGGTCCGCGATTGGACATCCTCTAGCATTAGTCGGAATCTTGATTCGCTACAAAGACTCTCTCACTTGGCAAGGTCGATATTTCAGGACGGAATGTCAAACAGGGATCTAGCAACCTCTCGAAGCGACCAGGGCACGGAGAATACCCCCCTGGTGCTCTTTATCAGTGCCCTTTACCACCAGTGCCAGATCACTTTGCATTCAATGATTGTTCCTTTGTTTTCTGGTACACACCGTGGACCAAGAATAGACCCGAAAGTTGTGAAGCAAAGTGCCGAGACAGTTACACAACATGCAGAGTTATTCGAAGCTCTACTAGCTCCTTACATGTACGGGCAAGGTGATATTACGCTTCTACCGCCTTTCGTAGGATATGGTGCTTTCATCACAGGTGTTGTCTTCTTGGCTACTGAGGTCTCTTTTCAAGACAAAACACCACGAAGACTTGTCTCCGGAGCACATTCCGAGAGTCGTAGATTGTCGACTGTGAAGGGCACCCTTCACTTACTCAACAAACTTCGATTTTATTGGAGGGCTCTACAGGTTTCTGTGAGTATATATTCCTAAATGGTCGAATTGGGGGGTACTAACCATTTGGAATGCAGTGGGAAAAGCTCGACGCTGCATTTCAGCTACATATATCTTGCCACAGAGCACATGAATCAGCCAGCCCACATGCTATCAGAGCTCCCGAACTTCACGCTTCAGATCCTAAATCACAACTCTCCAACCATGTACCAGAAGGCTCTGTGCACAACGAGCAGTCAAGCACTCGCGAAGCATCAGTACCATCGATAGGCCCCGCGGGCGAGCATCAGCATCCGTGGGTGAGTGACCAGAGAACTCTGGAAGTCGATCCAATGCAGCAAAATCCACAGGCAACCATGTCCGATAATTGTATCTTTGAACAATCGGATATCGAGACCGCTGATATGTCTTTCACAACACCATCTGGTGTAGCGCAGGATGACCCCTGGTATAATCTGTCTTTCGCGGAGGCTGGAATTGAACAATTCGTAGGCTTCGAGCCCTTACATCTCTTTCAGGAAGGATGCGGATTTTTTAGCTGAGCGACGATCCACTCATCTGTATGTATAACGTGCACATAACCGAGGAGGCGGGGCAGTCGGGCTCGGAGGAATCGGACTCGGACTCGGACTCGGAGCGTTGGACGTTACTATCCGTTAGCCGGAATACTTAACACTGTTGCCTCGTATATAGTGTTGTAACACTCACTGTGGGAAAATATGATCTGCTACTTCTAACTACTTCACATTGGACAACAATCAAAATGCTCAACCATTACCGCGATATTGAAACGGTCGACTCAACAAACCATTCATATATCTTTGTGCAAAATGCGTCAATCCCTTTGAGAACTGGAGGAGTGCTTCGCTGTAACGTCTATAAGCCGCGGGGGACATCTGAAGGAATCAAATATCCCGTTCTTGTCACGTACGGACCGTATGGAAAGGATGTCCCTTATGAACAGTAAGTGTCCATACTCAAAGAATATAATATTTCTCCCGCTCCCTGCTGTGCTTTCAATGCGTGAGTTATTTAACACTACTAGATGGTGTTAATGAATGAAATAACAGGTTCAACCCCAAGAGCTTTGCAGAAGTGGATCCAGCTCATCAGACAAAACATTCTGCATGGGAGACGCCTACACCCCAATACTGGACCGACCACGGCTACATCGTCGTGCGAGTGGATGAGTTCGGAATTGGACAGTCTCCAGGACAGCTACACGTCAAATCCGCAGCTTCCATTGATGGATTCTGCGAGGCTATCGAATGGGCTGCTAGTCAGCCTTGGTCCTCTGGGAAGGTCGGCCTCCTCGGAGTCAGCTACTATGCTGCCACACAGTGGCAGGCTGCGGCTCGACAGCCTAAAGGTTTAGCGGCAATAGTGCCATGGGAAGGATTTTCTGACGCCTACAGCGAGTCATTGCGACATGGCGGCATCCTCTCGAATAAGTTCTTTTCCATGTGGTACGATCGTCAGGTCGCGCCGAATCAGTATGGGCTTCCGGGGCGAGCGGCGCGCAACTGGGGTCCTGATACTGTTGAAGGTGACCTCAGCGCTGAGGAATTAGACGCAAACCGTCATAAGGCCGTAATGCATGAGCAGCGGTACCGCGATGACAAAGAGATCTCGCCGCTGAACTTCAATCTTGAAGACGTCACAGTTCCCCTTCTCAGCGTTGCTAATTTCGGTGGACTTCTGCTGCATCTTCGAGGAAATGTGATGGGGTATCTCTGGTCTGGATCCGAATTCAAATATCTCCGATTTATTGCTGGACGCCATGATCTGCCATTCTACTACCCTGAAGAAGTAGAGATACAAAGGAGCTTCCTCGATGCTTGGCTCAAAGGGCAAGATCGAGAGGGATGGACGAAGAAGGGGGCTCTTCCTCCAGTGGATTTGATTCTGCGAAAGGGAAATGTGGGCTTCAATAACCCAGCAGGGGAAAAGAAGTTTCTTCGCCGTACAGAGAAGGAATGGCCATTGGCTAGGACACAATACACCCCGTTTTTCTTAACAGCAGATAGTCAGCTACACCTCGATCAGCCACACCTGACGGTCCCTAAGAAACTCTCCTACAGCGCCCTGGGTAAGGCAGAAGCCTCTGACATGCTGACCTTCAAATCGGCTCCTTTTGAGAAAGAAACAGAAATCACTGGACACATTGTGGCTCATCTTAACGTATCCGTCAACAGAGATCAGTGGGGAAATTCGCCCACAGATCTCGACTTGTTTCTCAGTCTACGCCATATGTCACCATCTTGCGAAGAGATATCCTACACAGGCTCTGTCGGAGACCCTGTCCCAGTGACCAAGGGTTGGCTCCGTGTTTCCCTCCGCAAGACTGATCCTCACCACCCGCGCCACCGGCCTTGGTTGCCGCATCGCAACTACTACTCCACGGATGTTCTACCTGTAATTCCTGGCGAGGTGTATGCCGTTGATGTGGAGCTCTGGCCAACTAATGTTGTCGTTGAAGCGGGAGGTCGGCTTGTGTTGGAAGTGAGTTCCGGAGACACCGCAGGGACTGGGATCTGGGGTCATGACGATCCTATTGACAGGTTTGACTCTCCTCAACTACGCAAGGCATATTGATGGCTTGTTTTCTAACTAGCATCTAGGTCAGAGGCTGTCTTTAAAGGTCTAAACAACATCCATTTTGGACCGGATTATGTTAACTATATCACACTCCCGATTATTCCCAATGAGGGATCTTAATGAAACGATCTCTTTGGAGATTCTCGTCATCATACCGCTACCAACAAAACAGCTTCGCGAGAATCACGCCATCTCTACGTAGTTGTGCAATTTATAAAGTACACAATTCAATCACAGTTGGATATTTTCTTTATTTTGCTCTATTCCCGTGTAAATGACTTCTGTACAATGTAGTATAACACAAAAGGAACCAGTTATTTGTTGGACCTCCACGCTGAGGCTATTATATATAGGGCTAAAGGGCCCAAGTGCAATGACTCTATATAGAATTTCTCTAAGAATCTAAAACCAACCAGTTGTACATCATTCAATACGATCAGGACGTGTGATCGATAAAACGCCACATTGCATGACTATCTCTTGAAACTCCGAGTAACCATAGCTAAGTAATTGCGGGTAGAACAGACATTAAGAGTAGTCGACTAAGAAGTAAACCTGCTCTTCTTCCTAATTCGAGCCCCGTACCTGTAGAAAATATACCTGTCACCCGCAAATTTATCAGTTCCAAGAACAACTTCCCAGGCGATGGCTAGAAAAGAAGAACAACTTACGGAAACGGCACCATCGCCAAAGTAAGAAACGCAAGCAGACACGAAGCCCAATGTAGCCCTAATTTATTGTACACTAAAAAGAAGCCAAGGTAAGTTTTACTCCCTCATCAGTCATCAATATTAGCAGGTATCCAAACTCACTCTGAGTCCCGAACAGAGGGAAAGCTCCTGCAAATGTCGATCTAGTAAAACTGTTTGCCGCCAAGGCGCTGGCAGCGTAACGAGGGTAGGCTTCGACGAGGAAGGTGAAAATCCCAGAAAAAACGAGAATTGTCCTGTTCCATTACGGTTAGACATAGCTTTCTTTATCATGGAGTTCCACTCCAGGGTTGACTTCTAGTCTTGATGAAGTTCATTGACATCCAAGTTGTTGGGTCTACTTACCCAGCTCCGAAAAGCGCACTTCCGATCATTGGCACTATCCAGTGAATACCTGGGTAAATTGTCCATGAGAATATGAACAGCCCGATTGTTACTAATGGTGCCCCTGCTATAGCTGCATTTATCTCAGATTAGTATATGGTGGAAGAATTAGGAGGTCAAGGAAAAGTGGTACCTGGAGGAAGTCTCCATTCCGGTTCGAACCCGGAGGCTTCCGGATTTTGAATATGATGATTCTTTTCAAGGCGCTTGTAGTTCCGATGCCAAAATGGGTCGGAGAGAATGGCTAACACCATTCCGACGAGAAGACCTAGGAAAGTGAGGCCTCGCTGCCATAACTCGAATCCATACACAGACTGGAAAACCATCTGAAATGCGCCGAAGAAGAGATAAAGTATGCCCAGCAACAGTGCAGAGTATATACACAGATTCAGGCACATGGGCTCCAACGTCAGAAGCATGACTGGCCGGACGATGGAACGAAGGATGAGCGCGCTCACAGGCACGTTACTATTCTCGCTTGGTCCTAAAGGCCATGGGTTTCCAGTCTTCTTTCTAATTTCTCGTGCCTTCCTCGTTAGAAGTCTGGCGAACTATGTTAGGCATGTCAAGCTGATTGGGGGACAATTAACCAACGCTGGATGATGGGTCTCGGGCACAAAAAAGTATATCGAAACTAGCATTGTGGCGGCCCATATCAGTAAAGTATAAAATGTCCAGCGCCTGTATGCTTTGTGTCAGAATGCAATTGTCACTCACAGCTCTAGGAGACTGCCTCTTTGTACATACCAATTTGTATACTGGTTTATAAAGCCACCTACTCTGTGAAGGAGGAACCAATATTTCGTAAGTGCATGTATACATAGCAAGGAGATTTCCAAGAGACACTTACAGAGGCCCAAGCTCAGGTCCAACAAAGGGACTTGCAGTATATATCATCATAGGAGCAGCCAACTGATGCCGAGGAAACATGTCTCCAACCGCACCTCCAGCAACGCTGAGGAAGGCACTTCCTGCAAAGCCATTGAAGAACCGAGAAATGAGTAGCGTTTGTATGTTTCTCGCGACTGCACATGGTACCAGCCAGATAAGGAAGAATGTGAAGGAGCTCAGAAAGATGACTCTCCGTCCGTACAGCTGTGCATTGGTCAGTCTTTATTATTAGAAACCCCACAAGATTCTATGTTTCATACCTCGGATAGAGGGCCTAATATCAACGGGCCAAACCCTAAGCAAAGGCAATCTTAGTCTCTTGATCTATAACTGGCAATCAGTGGAAATGCGACTGACTTACCCATGCCGAAGACAAAAAGTGATAGCCCTAGTGTTGCAACCTCTTGTGAACAATGGAATTCATGTAGAAGTTGATCGTAGGTCGTAGTATATATGGAAGATGTGCAAGCACTACCACAATGTCAGTTCGACAAGTACCGGAGTGTTCATCAAATTCGGGATACTCACACACAAAGTGAGCAAAGAGATATGATAACAACAGTCAGCCATCTTCTCATTAGACTTCTCTTGACAGGATGTGCCGGGTCGTCTTCATCCCATTGGATAATCTCCACAGAGGCTCTCCTGTCGATGGTGTTGCTGGGATCGGAGTCATGTTCTAGATATGAACTACGTGGAGTACCGTCTTCCGTTGGCATGAGGGATTTGAGTTAACAAGGTATTATAACCTTTCTGGGCCAATCTACAGACTGTGCAGATTATTCAAAAAGGCAGGGTAGAGCGACAATGAGAGATCCTTCAGTCCTACTAGTATTCGAACTTTGAAAAATGTAGACGTATTAATATTCATAGTGACAAGCCCAGCCAGCACCTATCTTTAAACCACAAATTCATGCATCATTGGCTTATAAATCAACACTCTACAACTAGCACTAATCTCAACTGGTCGTAAAAATCTGTTCCTTGTTAGCGTTACTTATCGGACCGAATAGGGTAGACATGCAAGATGAGGATAGTCGGTCCGATTTAGTGTTCTGAGTGACTCGGAC